GTCGCAGCTACATTACCTGAGCGACAGTGAAGTTAACAGTAGCAACGCCCACCAACTGCGTCACTGTCATGTGTTTACAACATTCAGTCCAACGTTTTCTTGATAATCCGTCATTCATATATTATTATTTATGACAAAATAGAATAATATAATGGGTTAATGTTTATTAAAAACATCAAATTGCATGATTCATTCATAGTTTTTATTACAACTGAATTGTTAATAATAATCAAAATACGGAGGCTCTTATTGGAGTCATGTATTTTGATTTGCGCAATTCATTTTATTAAATTGAAAAAAATATTGTTGTGGTTCTGCACCCTCTTGATTGAATGCACATGTTGTTGGTTGAAGTCGCTTTGGATAAAAAAAGCGACTTGAATGTAATAATCTCTCACAGACTTTAAATTATTTACGTTTTCAGTATATTTAACTTTATTAAAATATACACATATTTGTGTCTTCAGTGCTTAAACCAAACATAATATCATCAGATCTTTATGGAAATAAACTTTATGATCATTATGTCAGTAGTAATATTAAGTGCAAGGCATCCATCAGGCTGCAGTCCATCTGGCCACCACCAGGTATCGTTAAAGTTAATTTATTCTCCTCTAACCCATTAACGCGAGAAGCACTAGGACCCAGCAGGATCCTCTCATGCTGCCTTCCCGTTCGTCTCAGAAATGTCAGAATCAAATATCATCCTGTGTTTTACAGCATACCGTTTCATTTGTAGCTCAGTTTAATAGAAATACTACTTCTTAGAAAACACAAACATCATCATGAGATTATAATATTTGGTCATATTTATTCCATCATTGTGATTCAAGCTTTTTATGCTGAGTATAATTATCAATCAACTATTAAATTAGCTTCACATTCCCTGTCTGAGAGTAAGAAAACCTCGACAGCCCCTGAACGCACCACAAGCAGCGTGGTGCCGCCCTGCTCATTTTCCGGCAGCTACGACTATCCACTGGCTCATTCTGACGGGACTGTTTTCTGTTATTTTCTATTTTCAAAGCTTCACTACGATTCATGCATTCATTAGTTATATATTATTTAAAATCACAAAGCAGTTTTCCGGAAAGGGAAGAAACAAGATTATTTGGGATTTTACAAATTCCGTTTTTGTTATTATTATTGTCATTATTTAATAGTAGTAACAGTATTAGTAGTAGTATTTCTTACTGATATTCTTTCTGATTTTTTCATACGTTTAATTAAGTCCTTAAAGTCTTAAAGAGGAGGATTCTTTCATCATCTGAATATTTGACCAGATTGGGTGTTGTTCGAGTGGCAGGCCGTGTGGGTTCGGTCCTGATGGCGGCTAACCGGGTGGGACGGCGGATGAATAAGTCTTGTAGTAATCAGTCCCCCAGCCGGGCCAGTGCTGATCGTGATGCGGCTCAGAACCTTCAGCGCCGGCATATCCGGGTTACTGTGAAGTACAACCGGAAGGAGCTGCAGAGGAGGATGGAGGTGGAGAAGTGGATCGACTGTGAACTGGAGAAGCTTTACAAGGGAAGGGTGAGTACTACAAGTACTACTACCAATGTTACTACTGGTACCACTCACTACAAGCACTACTACGAGTACAGCTGGGGTCAAAAAGTATGATTCACTATAAGTACTACTACGAGTACAGCTACAAGTACTGTTGGGGTCAAAAAGTGAATCGACTGTGGACTAGAGGATGTGTACAAAGGAAGGGTAAGTACTAGAAGTACTACTACGGGTACGGTTCACTATAACTACTAGTACTACTCACTACAAGTACTACTACAAGTAAAGCTACAAGTACTGTTGGGGTCAAAAAGTGGATCGACTGTGGACTAGAGGATGTGTACAAAGGAAGGGTGAGTACTACAAGTATGATTCACTATAAGTACTACTACGAGTACAGCTACAAGTACTGTTGGGGTCAAAAAGTGAATCGACTGTGGACTATAGGATGTGTACAAAGGAAGGGTAAGTACTAGAAGTACTACTACGGGTACGGTTCACTATAACTACTAGTACTACTCACTACAAGTACTACTACAAGTACAGCTACAAGTACTGTTGGGGTCAAAAAGTGGATTGACTGTGGACTAGAGGATGTGTACAAAGGAAGGGTGAGTACTAAAAGTACCACTACAGGTACGATTCACTATAAGTACTACTACAAGTAGTACTCACTACAAGTACTTCTGTGGGTCAAAATGTGATCAAAGCGATCAAAAAGATCGACTGTGCACTGGAGGAGCTGCACAGAGGAAGGGTGAGTAGTACGCGTACCAGTAGTAGAAGTGTTGCCACTGGTACTACTATCTACAAGTACTACTACTAGTGTTAGTACTGGAAATACTCAGTAAAAGTACTACCACAAGTACAACTAAAAGTGTTGCTACAAGTACTACTACAAGTACTACTCAATACAAGTACAAGTGGTACAACTACTATGAGTACTACACTGATGATAATCAGCTCTGGCAATAAACAGCTTCTGAATCGATGCCGCGTTTCAAAGGTTTTTTCTTCAGGTTCTGTGTCATTTAATTGAAACAATGTGTGTTGGCGGTTCAGCTCTGACCGTGTCTTCATTTGAAAAGCACTTTTACTTAAATACTTTCTACCAAGTTAAGAACTAACAAGGCATCAAGTCATAAATCCTCCCCCAGTTGTCTCCTGGAGTCTCTTTAAATGCTGAATGGGTTTGTCTCTTAACCTCCAGAGAGACTTTTATTGACGTGTGAGAGACGGTAAAAGCTGCATTAGGGAAGATTGATGGCGCACACACGTACACACACACACGTACACACACACACACACACGTATACATGAATACATATTAGACCGATTTGTGTATGTGTTTTTGGTGATAAATAGATAATCAGATCTGCTCATTTCCTGTCAGACTCCATCTGAAGACTCTCACACACACACACACACACACACACACACACACTTAAAGGAGATATTTCCGACAGACTCACCATCTCATCAGTAAAGACGTCAGAGGTCGGATGTCCGATCACCATGACAACTGATAGGATGAATAGAATCAATCTGAGAAAAAGAAGATTAAAACCATTCATGTATTTTATGGAAGGAGGATGCAGCTGTGAGACGCATTGCTTGATGAAGACGTTGGTGCGATAATGTGTGTGTGTTGGATGGTCCATCTGTATATTTTCGTCAATAAGCTTCCAATGGTTTTATTAGGACTAATTACCTCTATAAGGTTTTTCAAAATGTTTCTTTAACACACATAAAGCCTATTTCAAAATATTTGTAACATTATATAACTTTAACTTTTAAAAAGATGTTTTAATATTATGCGATGAAATTCTTCGAACACTGTATTAACTATATTTCATATGATTTCAATAGGATTTCAACACATTACAATTTTTAACGCTATTCTAAAATTATTATCTAAAAACATTTTACATTGTCATTTTATTATGTAATTATACAATTACATATTATTACACCCTAAATGTGTTATATTATTTTTACGTGATATCATATTATACAAACATTTAAAAAATAATTCAGTATACACAGGAAAATAATGTAAATGTCTTTACAGGAGGAGGACATGCCAGCGGAGGTGAACATTGATGAACTTCTGGATTTACGGACGGATGAGGAGAGGACTGAGAGACTGCAGGTAAATATGCTATTCCATATGTCTCTACGTCCTTCCACTTGGTGTCTAATGTGTCTCTTTCTGTTTGTTCAGGACATCTTTCACTCCTGTAACAAGGAATCAAAGGTGAGTCTATAAACATGAAGGTAAAGACAGGAAATGAAATAAATGAGTGAAACAAATCTCAGGTAAGTTTTTGTATTGAGTTCATGAATGACTCATCAGCAAAGATAAAACCATGAATGAGTATTAATGTAATGGAGGTTCACTATTAGTCTGTCCGGGGAAGACACTTGACCAACATGCATTGCGGCTTCCGGTCTGCTGGGAACCGGACCAAGGCCAGGACTCCGGGTCCGAGACCTCCGAGATCTGGTTGATGTCGATCATAAAGTTGTTTATGACGCTCAGATCCTGATCCGGATCAACGGACCGATCCCAGTCCTACAGGGGACTGTCTACAGGGCTTTGACCATATTATGTATTTACAATATGCTGCTGGATAAAAGTAAGAATGTTACAACCAAATGTCTGCTAGGAAGAAGTGTTTGTAGTGGACGTTACTTCTGAAGCCTCAAGTTGCGATGGCATCTGTTTTTTCATTTTATGTTGTGCACAGTGTGTTCGGTTATTAGCTAGTATGAAACTACATTACTAATGTCAATCAGATCACTCACAGATAATAGTAACAGGGCACCACCCTGGGTGCAGGGACCAATAATCAAACTATTGATTAAGTGTCATAATGGAGGTTTACTCAATATTATCAGAATACACAAAGTAATCACAGCAAACCTCTCTTTAAAGTATAACAGTTTATTAACCTGCAACAATACCAATAAGGTCAACTGTCTGAAATCAACAACTATTATTATATAACAACAAGAATACTATCTAAACAACAACAACAATCATTCATGATTGTTTGTTGTTTGTTGTTATGCTGTGTCCTCTTCTATGCTGTGCTCTGCTCGGTGGGGCATTACTACGGATGACAAAAACAGGATCAATAAGGTGATCAGAAAGGCTGATTCAGGGATGATCCTTTACCCAGACTCGAGGTCGCTGTGCAAAGGGCCAAGTTAAGAACAATAATTTCTTTTGAAGGGTACACTGTGTTTAATGGACTCAGGAGCTCGTTCAGTGGGCGACTCGGGATGCACAGGTAATCCGCTGGACCACTAACCCTAACCCTAATCCACTGAACCACTAACCCTAACCCTAATCCACTGGACCCCTAACCCTAACCCTGAACCACTCACAAGGTCTCGTATTGCAGCAGCGGTTCCATTTGTTAAGGAACACCTTTAGGTCTAGCATCTTTCTGATGTCGGCCATGTTTTATAAGGCATCTTCTGGGATTATTTGTTCTTTGCAATGTGTTTCTTGTCTTTTGGGCTCTGTGGACTGTGTCTATTGTTGTTTCTGTTGTGGTTTGTAGACTTTCTTGAGTTACTTGAAATGAGTTTTCCCACTGAGTTTTCTAATCTAACATGCAGTTGGTGCTTCGGCTTCACTTTTCAGACCCGAAGGTCATTGCCTGAAATCAGTCAGGTTGTTATGGGTATGTTCATGTTCAGGCTCAGAGGCCTTCTGACTCTTAGTAGCTGCAGAAGTATTAGGGGTTAGTTTGGTTTGTGGGAATTTGGAAAAATGCACGAAGCAGCGGGTTGGTTGACGAAGCATCGGTGTCTACATGGTGATGACACTTCAGGATCAGGAATCAGGAAACATTTATTAGCCAAAATATGTCAAACATACAAGGAATTTGTCTTGGCGGTTAGTGCGCGACAGTAGACACACAAGACAACAGTGCACAAGTAATAAAATAAAGTGGAATGAAATGCTAATGCAATGGGTTAGTAGAATAAGGCTAAGGCTATGGGTTAGTATAAAACAAGGGAATAAAGTTAAAAAAATTTAAATATTAAAAAGTCAAAAAGAAAAATATTAAGCATAAAGTGCACTAACGAACAAGTAACAGACAAGAGACAAAGTGACAAGTGACGACAAAGTGATGAATTGCAGTTAAAGTGGCATGTGCAGTATGAAGGGGAGTGACCGGTGGAATGTTATAGTCAGTCAGTGGGGGACCGGCTCTGTTCATGAGCCCGACTGCCGACGGGAAGAAACTGTTTGTGTGGCGGGAGGTCTTAGTCCTGATGGACCTCAGCCTCCTGCCAGATGGAAGGGGCACAAACAGGTTTTGTCCGGGGTGGGAGGGGTCGGCCGCGATCTTTTTAGCTCGCTTCAAAGACCTGGAAGCGAACAAGTCCTGCAGGGACGGCAGATTGCAGCCGATCACCCTCTCTGCAGAGCGGAGGACACGCTGCAGCCTGCCCTTGTCCTTGGCTGTGGCTGCAGCGTACCAGACGGTGATGGGAGGAGGAGAGGATGGACTCGATGATGGCCGTGTAGAAGAGGAGTCAGTAGTGTCTTTATGATGTCGTCAACAGTCCGGCCTGTAGGGGCGCTAACTTCTCTTTTCTGTGTCTTCTCCCATCAGGTCTTTGTCTGTGAACTTCTATTTAAGCTTCATGGTTTACAGAAACACGAGGATCTGCACAACAACGGTATCGACCTCCCTCAGCTTCACATCTACCCCACCCGCCCCGGGTCAGCTGACAGGGAGGTGCTGCACTGATGGACCAAGTGAACCAATCAGTTCCCGACCATCGAAACCGCCACACCAGCTATACCCTGCACACTAACACCTCCGACAACCTGAAGACTCCCTCCAACTCTATTGTCCACTGTTTCTACGCCATCCGTGTCCCCCGAACCCCTGAACTTTGTGTTCACATCTGATCACTGTGTAAAGACTCAATTCAACTCATTTAATTGTTCTTTGTTTGTGTAAATGAGCATGATGTCAATGTTTAAAAAAATAAGGATGATATTAAAAAAGAAAAAGATGGCATGGGCAAACCTTCACAGCCTTTTGGGCTTAAAAATTGTACAATTCATTTTGGGCAGCACATGGTGTGGTGAAGGTCTGGGTTTTGACACCATCCAGCACCTTTGAGGCCACAGTGATAACCACCACACCACCGTGCCCAAAATTGCAAATTATAAATTTGGCTCTGAGGGCTTTAGAGTCTGTACACATGCAACATCCTCTGTCCTCAAACCCTCACAGCGGCACAGGAAAAAACGTTCGATGGGAAAAAAGGGAAGAAACCTCAGTGAGAACGTCAGAGGAGGATCGGTCTCCTGATGGACAGACTACAATGATGTCATGTGTACAGAATGAACAATGTAAAAGATGAACAATACATTTAATTCCTATAACAGAACAGAAATTATTCAAATATTGCAAGTAGTAAGCCAGGTGTACGTCAGGACCACTGCAGGACAACCACCATCACATAGAACCGCCATCAGATAGAACCACCAACCACAGAAGCCTGTGGAAATATTAATGGTGTTAGAAGCAGCAGTTGTCAGCAGGGCCGTGGCAGGGGTCAGGACCAGGGTCCAGACGGAACCATGATCTACGGAAACCTGTGAAGCGAACCGGCGAGTGCATGGGAGAGACAGCAGGTCTCTCGAGTCCACAGACAAAGGAAAGAGACAAAGACAGACAGAGGTATTGTGAGACTCAGGAGAGGACTTGTTTGACTCGAGGAGAGGGCTGTGACTTGTGTGTCTCAAAGAGTCATTCTTAAATAAGCCCAAAGAAAATTCATCAATTTCATTTTAAAAATTCTAAAAATAATGAAAAGTCTAAGAATGATTAAATACAAAATGGTAATAAAAATACAACAATCAATTTTATTTTATTGAAACAAGGTTTAGTTGTTTAATTAATAAAATTAGAGTCCTTGTTTTTAAGTGCAGCTGTTGTTTTTCTTCATTCAATTCTCTTACAGCCTGGAACTGAAAAAGGGTTTTGCCACAATAAAGTTTTTATAACTTTATATAATGAAGATTTTATCAACCAGTGTTCTCACTCAAGATCCTCTGGACACACACACACACACACACACACACACACACACACCCCTATATTGTGATTGGTCCTCACAGGCTCAGTCCCCCTGACCCAGGATCAGTCCCAGTACGGAGTTGAGGATGTTGGCGCTGCAGAGGACCGTCTGTAGCCCACTGGCCCCCCCCATCACACTGAACAGAACCACGTTCCACTGGACCACACCTCTGGGCTTCAGACACACTCCAGACCACAGAGTCCTGTTGTATAGGTAGCCTGCATGACTGAACCAGACGGGGGTGGGGGTGGGGCGGTACAGGCAGAGTTACAGTATCAGAGTCATGACGTCCACTTTTAACTTTGTTAAAGTGGTGGTCTTTGTGTGTCTCACCGGTCTGGTTGGGGTTGCAGTGGGACCCCCCAGACTGGGGTGGAGGTGGTGTTATACAGACAGTGGGGCCCCTGAGAGAGACCAGTGAAACTGACCAGACTGCAGAAACCAGCCGCTAGCAGACACACACAGGAGTAGACCACCTGACACAGCATCTGGACACACACACACACACAGATATGTATATATATTTATTTATATGTAGATATATTTTTGTATATATGAATATATATATATATATATATATATATATATATATATATATATAATCTGACCTGACGTCTAAAAGCACAGCAGCCTCTGGTCTGACTGGTCTGCACAAAGGCTCGAGCTCCCACCAGAACCTCAAAGGAAACACAAGTCTTATGTTACCATGAATATTCATATTGAGCTTTTATTATATTTCAGAACTTGGTTAGCGTCCTTATGATCTGAAAAATAAAGTTTCTTTCATGTCTATCTTCATATTTTGTATATTTCACTGACTGATAAAAAGACAAAAGAACAGACCCGCACTGGGTTTACCAAAGTGTGAGAACAAAGATGTTCAAACCACGGAAACGGCTGCTGCAGAGCCGCACAGACCCGCCATGAGGCCTCATCACAATAGAGGCCCATGAGCCCTTATGGGTCTCTAACAATGACCATGAGGTCTCATGGCCTCCACCAGTGACCCAATGTTGCCTTTGGGTCACTGATGGAGTGGGCTACTCATTCTGTGCGAAATGAATAGCCAGTGTAGAAGCCACTAACATTCAAGCAAGTTCTAAAAACGTCTAAAGAAACTTCAAAAGTGAGAAGAAGAAGAAAAACAAGATGGATTTGAGCTGAGAGGAAAAAATAACCAGAAAATGTGACAAGACACCAGAATCACACAACTTCCATGAGTCAATCACACACTGCAGTTGTCATCATTACCACATGCATCATACAGCACATGACACACACACACACACACCACTAAACCGGACCCCCACAGGCCCGTGACCCAGGTGGCCTCTCTGGTCACATGACCCTCCATCAAGAAGTGGATCTTCAGTTCAGGAATCAACAGCAGGATGTTGCTCAGTATGCAGATTATTGCCAATGCGACCAGAGAGACGGCTACACTTTGCAGACACCTGGACACACACATCTGCCAGAGGTTAGCACAGTGTTGACAATAACATATAATGTGTTATTATGATTATTATGCTGGGCCTTTATGCCTGCATCCTCATGAATCCTCATGAAACCCTTTGTTCTTTGTAATCAGTAATCAATGTGATGATCAATACCCTGCCCACTATTTCACCAGTTTCAACATTTTATCTTTACCTTGTTGCTGATTTAATTAATTGTGTATTGAATCCCTCATGTCTAAACATACAGGTGAGCTATATATATATATATATATATATATATATATATATATATATATATATATATATATATATATATATATATTATCACTGATTTAATCTAAAACCCTGTCACATGTTTGTTGACTGGTTGTCTAACACAAGCAGCAGATTGCGGATTATGGTTAAGCCTGGTTAAGGTCTATAGTTAGGGCTGGTTCAGGTTATAGAAAAGGGTGGGTCAGGTCTATATTTAGGGCCCGCTCTTGAGAGCTTGCACCGGCCCTAGATATTCTACTATAGATGAAGACAAATAGAATACTTCTTAGAATAGCCTCTCTCCTCTTCTGTGTTCTCTTATCTATGAACAACATAGTTTCTTCCTGTGAGTCTTTGTGCTCTCTGTCCCCATATGTTTCTGTGGATTGTTGTTTTATTTGGACCCTGGTTCTGCCTGATAACAATAATGATTGTAGTAGTGGTGGTTAATAGTCACATTACTGATGTGCACTTTGCTTTTGGCTGCTATAATCCTGTAAATGTCCCCGCTGGGGTACAAAGGATTATTTAAAAGGAACATTTATGTACAGTATCTTACTATTATTAGTATTCCACTATATCCACTGCTGCTGTTATTATAGCATTTGTTTCCGTCATTATTTCTTACTACTCTCATTATCTGAATATTTTCTCTTATATGCAACTTAATGTCTTGCGACTCTGGTACGTTGTTCATTGTGGACACAACATCTACATCTGTCCATCCTGATAGAGGGTTAGAGAATATTAGGGGGTATTATACATGGCATAATATATATATATATTTTATCCCACCTGTGTTACTCTTACTGAGGTTAAAGGTTGCTTTGGGTGGGATTATTCTTTGCTGGTGAGAGGGTTGGAGGTCAGAGGATGTTAAATGTGTATATACTGTAAAACACCCGAGGCAATTTTGATATGTAATTTTGGGTTGTACAAAATAAATCGATTATTCCATTTTCTTCTAAAAAGTTATTTTCTCATTAAAACTAATTAACATTAACAGGTCTAAAAGTCGAACATTTTCTTTCAGGCATAAAACATTTATCCGGGTTGATTTGTTGGCCTCTGACATGAAAGTTAATAGTACATTTTATAATTATTATGTTAGAGAACGTCTAAGTTTGATTAACTGGTTTTTGCATTATCCTGCTGATAACCTCTGAGCAAACAGCTATGTATTTATATTTAATCATCATATTGGAGTCCTGGAATCCTTTAAATTTATGTAGACGCACCCAATAATTTAAATGCAATTAAATGAGCGGAAAAGCAAATTATACCATAAGACAGTGTTATAGAAGTTAAGTAGATTAGATCTTTTTTATTAGTTATTTTACTGTTTTGTTAAATCATTTATCATTTTGTTTTTCTGATCAATTAAATTCCTTTTGTATAGCCCAAAATCACAACTTTTCTCAGAGGTCTTTCAATAACAATAATAATAATATATTGCGAAAATAAATAAACTCACCCTGAAGATGTGCCGATGAGCAAAGATCCAGTTCAGAGTCAATATGAGGAACTAAACTTTGTGAGACTTATTCTTTTAACTGATGAATCATGAGGAAATGCCCACGACCATAAATGGAAAACCGGAAGTATCATGACTGTGGTCATCTTTAGAATGGTACATATATATCATCACATATCTATATATATAAATACATTTTAATATACAGTGCATGCATATGTATTTACCCCATTGGACATTTCTACATCGTGTCATGGTAGGGTCAATTTTGTTTTCATTGGGATTTTATGTAATGGACTAAGGCAAAATAGTCAATCATTCAAAAGTTGGGGAAAAGTTTACATGAAGCAATGAGAATCATACTTAATACAGCCACATCTGTCATTTGGTTCAGCATTTAGTTCTGAGATCAATGACATCATCCCATGGCGGTCTGTCATTGTGATGATGTTATTGATCACTCGGTCAGATGTCTTTGCATTTTGGTTCAGGTTTTTGAATGTGTTGCTATGGTAATTTAGCCAAACTTACTTCAGGAACCGAAAAGCCTGATCCATGTAATCCCATCCTGAAAGTTATCCAGCTAAGTCAGTTAGCCACATACGAGGGGCCCTGGCCCCTGACCTACTGAGACCCAGATGTCCTCGTGGACTCTAGTGCAGCTCAACGTTTACTGAGCCTCAACTGCAACAAGAACGAATACCTTCAGCATTTATAGGGTCCACACAGAAACCGTGAGAATTCTTCTCCAGTACAACAACTACTTTATCCACAAGCAGAGCAATGAGTGAGAAGACGGTCACCAGGGCCGGCTGAGACAACGGGGTTGCACGAGAGCAAGAGGGCCAGGGATCATGAGAGCGGAGACCACCAGAGCCAGCTGAAACCATCAGAGCCGAGGCTACCGGGGCCCAAGGAAGTACTCGGTCTTCACCTCGAGGACGCACTTCTCTTCTGTCTGCTGACAATGACTTTCGTGTGGTGTTGATCTCTAATGGCACTTCTTTTCTTTCTAGTTCCCGTTTTTCCCCCGAATTTTTTAGCCAACGTTGCAATAAAACTATTAAGATTGAGGTAATGGCATCAACTAGTCTAGACTAGGGGTCGTCGTGGCGGCGCAGGGGTTAGAGAAGGTGTGCTGGGAAGCACAAGGTTGGTGCCCCATGTTCCATGTCGAAGTGTCCCTGAGCAAGACACCTAACCCCTAATTGCTCCCTGGGCAAAAATGTGAAAAAGCCATGGGTTTAAAGTGTAATGTAAGTTGCTTTTGGATATAAGCGTCTGCTAAATGACCTGTAATGTAACTAAACACTAAAGTGTACTTTCTAACCCTTGCTAGCTAAATACGTTTTTCTAAAAGTTAGCATTGACTTTCTTCGTAGGAAAGGGGCGCCAACGCCGGTGTATTGGTCGTACGGAAACATTGTCCCAACTCGGGCAGACCTCCATCGTGGTCTTAAACACTGTTTTACGGGATATTCACTCGTTTCAAAAATTCCAAGCGGTCAACTAGAAAGAAAGAAAAGCAGATGTTTCTAAATATTACAAACTGCTCCTTTAATTACAAAGGAAACCAAGTCACTGTATATTTTATGACATGATATATAAATCTATTTATAGATATAAACAAAAGGCAAAAACCAACAGGGCAACCCCAGACTGAGGTGCCTGAGCCTTATCTGCTGCCTTCTCTCATAGACAACGGTTACCCTGAGCTAACAGGAAGGGGAGGAGTTAGAGAATGGGAGGAAGCAGTTGGCAGTGGAGCCACAATCAGCAGTGAGTTCTCCAGTTAGCCTGAAACAAGCAGATCTCCTGTAACGAGGTTCTTAGGAGCTGAAAGAAAGCAACTTCTATGATCAAACTCACCTTTAATCTAAGAAAACACTAACACCAAAAATTAACAAACACTGTAAAATTCTCAAACAACATAAACAGAGGTGTTTTATTTCTTAGAAAAGGTACCGATGACATGTGTTTCACCAGACACAACAGATGTCCTTTTGCTCTGTTATCAGCACTAGAGAGAAGATTAGTGCAATGCCCAAGTTAAAAAGCATTTGGAGGATCTACTGGGACACAGGAGAAGAATCAGCAGCTCTGAAGAACATTTCCGTCAGGGTGGCTTGTTTAGTGCTGCTGTAGGAGGGGGTGGAGGTATTTGTAGAGGACGAGTGGTCTTTAGTCTTCATCGATGAGGAGAGGGGGGTGGAGGTCTTCGTAGTCCTTTGGGTGGGTCGGGTGGGCGTGTCAGAGGTGCCGGCCTTCATCTCACGCCTGCTGTGGTGACGGAGCAAGTAGGGGTCTGAGGATCCTCTACGTCGGTTGGTGGCTGTCTTCTTCTCTTCCTGGTCCAGCTCCTTCTGCAGGAGCAAAGCTAACCTGCGGTCCTCCTCCTCCTGCCGCTGTCTGCACAGAAGCTCCGCCTCCAACCCAGCAACCTCTATAGAGGCCGCCGTCACCACCTCAGGAGAGGAGGGACAGCCCCAGCTGGTCACCTCCTCTAACGTCTCCGGCTCAGAGGATCCCTCTCCTGGCTCTTGATGATGGAGATCAACCGAGGGTTCAGGGGGGGGGGCGCTCCACCTTATGGAGAATGTTCTCCTGAAACAGAAAGTCAAAGAGTGTTTGTACATGACGTTCAGTACATTACAGGTCATTTAGCCGACGCTTTTATCCAAAGCAACTTACATTACACTTTAAACCCATGGCTTTTACATTTTGCCCTAGGAGCAATTAGGGGTTAGGTGTCTTGCTCAGGGACACTTTGACTTGAGACATTGGGCAGCCGGGACTCGAACCACCAATCTTGCGGTTCCCAGCACACAGAATTGGTTTATTCACTGGATCCCCATTAGCTAACGCCTTAGCGGCCACTAATCTTCCTGGGGTTCATAATGGGTTTCTAAGCTCTGAGTGGTAAAGAGATCGAAGTTACTGTTACATGTTTTAACAGTTCAATAAGGAGCATGGTTAGCTTAGCATGAAGAGGTCATAATGTGGTTCTAAGCCAGCGGTTCTCAAACAGTGGGGCGCGGAGGTGTTACAGGTGAGATGCGAGGGGCTTGTGGAAATGTAGATTTTTTTATTATTATTATTTATTTCATTTATAATACTTTATTAATCCCACATGGGGAAATTATTTTCTGCATTTTACCCATCCTTAGTAATTAAGGAGCAGTGTGCTGCTGTGAAGCACTGGGGCTTCAGTGTCTTGCTCAAGGACAGAAAAGATATTCAGTACAAAACATGTTAATTAGGCTATTACAATATGCTAGTTTTGACAAGAAAGCAACTTAAAATGTATTTATTCTATTAATAAAAGCACACATGGAGTCAGAAAATGTCGTTATTTTAATAAAAATTCAGCATGGACCATTTTGTTTCATTTTTGTTGGGGCCCGAACATTTTTCTTCCTCCGAAGTGGGGCCCGACAGAAAAAGTTTGAGAACCGCGGTTCTAAGCGAACAGATGTAAATGTTACAAATTTGAAGCAATGACATCATGAACTATCATCTGTTACCTTGTTTGATATGAAGCTGCAGGGTGAGGAGACGTTGTTGGAAGGAAGGGGAAAAAGAAACCTAGGACACAAATACATAGGTCATCACCAGTGAAACCATCAAAGTCCTCTAATCATACTGGTCCCAGTGGACACCAATGGACCTACTTCTTCATCTGTCCTCCACCAACCACCTCCTCCTTCTTCTTCTTCTTGGCTGGAGTGATGGGAGGAGGACCAAAAGTCTCTTGAGAGACAGGAGCAGAGTTCTGAAGGAGAAATAAATTAACACATCTCTCTCGCTCTTTATAGATTTAGATGTACATCTAGATACAGTGCCTTGCATAAGTATTCAAAGGTTCATACATTCTTCTTGACGCTCAGTCCAATTGGATGGAGGTGAATAGCATCTTAGATTCTCAGTTGACTGGGACATTTTAAAACATAAACATGCTTTAAACTAAACCATTCCATTGAGCTCTGGCTGCATGTGTAGGGTCATTGTCCTGCTGGAAGATGAACTTCCGCCCCAGTCTTCAGCATCTTTTCCTTATTGTGTTTGGCATTGAGGCCAAAAAGTTCCATTGTGGTCTCATCTGGCCAGAACAACTTCTTCCAAACGTTTGCCGTGTCTCCCTCGTGGCTTGTGTTAAAGTGTTAAACGGGATTTAAACAGGTTTAGCGGCTTCCTTCTTGCCCCTCTTCCATTAAGGCCTTATTTGTGGAGTACACGGCTACTAGTTGTCCTGTGGACAGATTCTTATCTCTAAGCTGTGGATCTTTGCAGCTTCTCTGGTTAATCTCCTTGTCCGGCCGGTCAGTTTGGGTGGACGGCCTTCTTGTGCTGGGTTTGCGGTTGTAAAATATTTAGGGCTATTAATCTGGCTGAATTAATGCAACAAAGTATTTTAACACAGCTAACATACGTTTGTTTACCTCCGGGACCAGAAGTAAACCGGAAGTTGACCGTGGAAACTAAATGGCCGCTAGCTGCAGTCAGTTACATCAAGATGGAGAGCGCTTTTTGAATTAGAAGTAAAACAGAGGCGTGACATACAGCGGAGAACCAAGCAGAGGAATTACTCCACGTGTCAAACAGAAGGGGGGTGCATGGCAAACGGACCACTTAAAGCACGGTTATGCTAAGCTAGCTGCTAGGCTAAGCTGCTTCCATCTCAACATCTAACGTTACCCTGTGCAGCAAACTGAAGAGGACCACCACCGTGTCCCTAAAAGACAGTGGTTTGAAAACGTACTGCTAAATGTGGGGAGATTGTTGGCTCCTCAAACACGTCAGATTTGGAGAGTTGAGAGCAAAGTGCACGAGGACGACAGGAAGAGTCGCTAGGTCAACATGTTCCACCAGGTGGAATTCTGCCTCCATGATGATCAAATCAAACAATGTCTAAAATACACACTTTCTAAAGTGATTATTCATTACTTTTAAGATTTAGTCTTTAGAAAAACAAACATTATTATAAACAACATTGTAACAACAACAACAGCAGCAGCATTTATTAATCGCCATTACCATGTAGATCTATCATACAAATTAGTCTGGGTGCGGTTAGGGTCACCAGATAGCGCCAAAAAAGTTACGATAATAATGATAGTATCGGCAGTAACTTTAATTTGGAGTGGAAGAATGGAAAGTTTGAGAGAAATGACATCTCAACCCTAATTGGCCAAGACGTCATATCAAAGGGTTTCATTGTGAAGATCACACCATCACCAGAAACGCTGGACGGCCTGTTGACCTCCACCAAGTTTGCAGGTATGGTATACATATTCACTTACAAGCTGGCTGCTGAGGAGACGAGCCAGCTTCTCATCTCCTTCTCGTCTCCTCGTCTCCTCCTGCCTCAGCTTCTCCTCCTCAGCCAGCAGCCTCTGGATAAAGTCCTCACTGGCCTTTCTCTCCTCCTCCTCATGGAATCGCTTCTCCTCCATCAGCTATGACCAAAAGAAGGAGTGAGTTCCTGTACGTATGGTATGAAAAGTATCTATTCATTCCTTAAAAAAAGAAAAAAAAAGATTATTGATTACAGTAGATGTGACTGTTTAGAGCATATTGTACACTGCACACCTGTGGTCCAATTACAAAAAGGCAACCCTACAGAGACTCAGTAGCTTATAATGGTGCTATGAGAATATTACTGAAGAGATCGAGATGGTGCAGTGCCAGTGAAATGTTTGTGGCTGCCGGAGTTAATACTTTGCAAGCCATTTTGCTATCCAGCAGTCGCTTGACTTCCTCGCTCTCACGGAGACCTGTATCACACTGGACAACACATCCACCCCAGCTGGTCTCTCCTCTGCCTTCTCCTTCAGCCACACACCCAGACCCACAGGCCATTTTCACCCAAATGGACCTTTTCTCTTTACTCGCTTCCACCGTCCACCCTACTGTCTTTCAGATTTCATGGTGTAACAGTTACTCACCCGGTACAATTAAATATTGTTTTTGTCAACCGTCCCCCAGGCTCTTTGGGTCATTTCTTGGACTTTTAAAATATTTTAACTTTAACTTTATTCTATTATTATTTTATACTAACCTATAGCCTTATTCTACTAACCATTTAGGCATTTCATTTTATTTTATTACTTGTGCACTGCTGTCTTGTTGTCTATTGTCTGTTTTGTGTCTACTGTCACGCACCAACCGCCAAGACAAATTCCTTGTATGTTTGACATATTTTGGCAATAAATGTTTCCTGATTCCTGGAAGAACTGGACATTCTCCTGTCCAACCTCCCTGAAAATGGCCCTCGGCTCATCCTCCTGGGTGACTTCAACATCCAGACAGAGAAGTCATCAGACCTTTTACTCCTTGCACTGTCACTCAGTCACTCTCCTCCTACTCAAAGCTTGACCACATGTCCACTAGAAACTGCTCTACTCACTGGCCTCCTCTGTTCTATCAGCTCTCCCCTCAACTGACTCTTTCTCACGCTTACATCAGAACGCTGCCGGAGAGACTCTGAAACTCAAAAATTCTTTTCTATCTTCCCCAACCTCCTCAACCTCCCCAGTCCTCCTACCCACTCCCCCGGAAGACTTGGTCAACTATTTTACCCCCCAAAAATAGCTGACATACGCTCCTCTTCCCCAAACCCATCTCCTATTACTTGTGTTTCACCAACTTTAACCATCGTCCTGGCTTCCCTCTTTCACTTGCTTTCTTTCTCCTAACGAACAGCTGTTTGGGTAGCCGGCGGTCCATTTCGGGGTCAAAGAATTAATGCCTTTACTTGAAAAAGGAATACAGTCACATACCGGGATACAGTCAGAATCTTTCTAAATACCGTGATACGGATTTTTGGCCATGGGGGTCCTATCTGGACAATGGTGGTGATTAGAGCGGTCACGATACCAAAATTATGACTTTGATCCGATTCCTGCCATAAATATCCTGATATCCAAAACTTACAATACCAGAATTCAATACTACAAACATGATATGATACGGGTATATTTATCTATAATAGCAATAAATAGAACATATGTATGGTTCCCTTTTTACCAGCTTGTTCCTACGCAACTCTGAATGCTCAACAAATGGCATTAATATTAGTATTAGCCTACAGCAACATAGGAAGGAAAACTACGTCATAGCATTGAGCACACGGATATGTAATGCAGTCACAGTATTTCCACATTTCGCCTCTGTGGCTTATTTTTCCCCAACAAGCTGATGATGGTCAACAAGAGCTGAGCATGACAAGGAGCGGAGCGCGCTCTGATCACGCTATTTTAATGAAGTATTGTTTCTAAAAAATATGTAAACTCCTATTGTTGTGGACGCCTGGTTACCGCGATACCTTTTCAGTATCAATACACTGTGCAATAGTGGTGATAATGATTACATCATTAGAGAATAAACTTACTTTGGTGACCTGGTTCTCATATTCCTGTTTCAGCTCTCCAGGCTGACTCACTCTGGGAAAACAAACCGATACTACACACACACGCACACACTTTATTTTTGTTAATTTGTTTTTGAAAGAACCACGTACAATTCAAACATAAATGTCACCATGTAACTGTAGCAGATTTGTGCTTTAAGCCAATTTTCCTTTGTAGTCCCTTAGCAGGTCAAAGCAAATATAATGCAATGACAAACAGGAGACAGATACGAGCCCTGAAAGAAAGACACACTAGGACATTACAAATGTGTCCCTTAAGGAGAGCTGAGATGTTACACATGGTCCATTGTGGCAGGTGCCAATTATCGTACGTACGTACAATAATTGGGCTCAGTTATGGAGGTCCTCTCCCCACAACCAGACCATCAGTATTATTCAATGTCTGTGTGTTCTGTACCTCCAGGCTCCTCCTCCTCCTCCTGCCCGGTGAGGCGGCGCTGACACTGCAGGGGGAAGCAGGTCTGGATCTGGTCCCACAGAGTCTGGTCCACCAGAGAGTTCTTCCTGCTGTTCAGACGGGCCCAGGTAGAGACCCTCCTTCTACACAGGGGGCAGCAGAGGGTGGCTTTGTCCACCGACTCCAGGAAGCACACCTATGCCACAACATAGAGATATGTTGTGACCCACAAGGTATATATATATACACACACTTACATACACGCATGCATGCACCTACATCTGTTTCCTTCATACGTGTGTTTGTTTCTTACATAAGGTGTGTGAGTGTGTGTGTGTGCGCGTGAGTGTTACCTTGCAGAAGGTGTGTGTGCAGGGTAGCGTCACAGGCTCCAAGAAGATCTCCAAACACACCGGACATCGGCAGTCCTCCAGAGACAGAGCTCTTCTTCTCTTACCTTCTCTGTCTGACCCCTCCACCTCTACATCTGACAACATCTTCTTCTTCTTAATACCAGAACCAGGTATCAGTAGTTAGTGTTCACTTATCTGCTGGTTACAAGTGTTAAAGTATAAAACGAAGAAACAACAAACTAACGTTAGACGCTAGCTTTAGCATCTATTAAGTTTGTTTACGGAGACTCACCTGAGGTCTCCACAGGTTAACAAACACAGGTACAGATGAACTTTAACAGGAACTTTAGTACTGTGACGTGTTCACTCAACTGAGCTATGTTCACCTAGACGTTTGTTACAACTTCCGGTAATGCTAAAGTTAGCTACTGGTGTAGCTTCCCGGCTAACTTTAGCGCACACCTCAAACAGCGGAAGGCTGGAGGATTAACGGCTAGCAGTTAAAATGCTGCAGATAACGTGGTCGAACCAGCGGTTGACCGCAGGTATCGAGCCTGTAGGAAATCCACCGCGAAACGACCAACGGATCCACAGTCCGCGCGTCAACCCATTCTTTGACGCAGCGCGCATGCGCACAACCCGCCAGCTGACGCCATCAAACTTCCGCCAGGGCTGCTTCCGCAACAGTCGGAAATCACAGCTTCTTCTTCATTTACATTTATGCTGCATTACTGGACCCCGTTCCTCGTACGTGGCTAACTGACTTAGCTGGAAAATTTTCAGGATACATTACATTGATCAGGTTTGGCAAAATCACCAAAACAACACATCAAAAAACTTTTGAGCCAGCTGGTTTTAGTTCATCACTCCCCGGAAAAAAGGACAGCTCTCTTCCTCACTGCACATATATATGATACATACAGTACATATATCCTCATAACTATTGATTTGTATCAATTAGACCCTTTGGGCTTGTTTTTATCTACTTATTCTACTTAAGAGCTGAGATCATTGTTCTCATTGGATGATGATGAATTCCATGAAGCCTCCAACCAGCAGCACATTTAAAGAACTATAATCTGATTAATTAGTGATGAGGCACCTAAAATGAGCAGATACATTTTCCCAACACTTACGCATTTCACTTGTCTGCGATACTTTGTCGGGCTTGTAGCCTCGCAGGGGGGCGGTGTCAGTTTTTGCCATGATTATATGACTCCTTTTATTTTCTATAGAATAAAAGTGCACATCAGTCACAGACGGCTTTAAAGTCTGTACACGTGACACCTCTTGTCCCAAAACGCTCACACCAACACAGGAAAAACTACCCCAAAAATGAAAAAACATTCGATGGGGAGAATAAAGGGAACCCTTTAGAGACAGAGAAGACAATATTCAGTATATAACCACCAGATCGTAACTATTATAAATATGTATTAATGGTCATCTCCTGCTGAATGTATGAAAAGGACGCTCTTCTTCTACCCTAGTTTATTTAATGAGACGGTTGGAACCGAGATAGCCTGACTTCAATCATCTCGTTTACATGAGCTGGCTAATGGGACATTTGATCGACTTAGTTTAACCACGTACGGGGCCTTGTTGTGTTATTGCTCAGTATATATTGTATTTAATTTACTTTTAACACTCAATGATCACGTGCTCCCCAAGTGTGACACGTGTGTGTGTGTGTGTATATATAAACACACACTTGGTTACTCTCTGCCAGTGTTATGAGAGATTTAATATTTTTCCACAGTATTACGATTGACTTGTTTGTATTATGATGATTCATCGGTTTGTATGTTTATATTATCAGGATTTAGCGGTTAGTTGGCATTATACAATGTTCATAATGTTTGGACACACAAGACAGTAGGAGGAAGTAAACTGGCCCTTTAATTCAACAGAAAACTGAGTGAATTTAACATATTCCAACACAGAACAAGGGTTTGGCCTTCCATTAAACAGAACTCATATAAGAAACGTCTAATTATGTATTTTAATCTGTTTGACATATTTGTTTTTACACATTAAAAATACATAAAACTTTTAAAGCAATAGCAAAACATTCTGGGATTATTGTGTGTTGACAAATGATGTGTGAGGATGGATCTTTATCCCATTTCTGACTCAAGAACTGGGCGGATGGATACACGGTCGTTGACAGGAAATAGATCCGTTTGTTTGATTGATGTGTTCATCACCTGTATATTTGAACAGAGCCAGGCTAGCAGTTTCTGGTCTCTATGCTAAACTAGGCTTGCTCTTATCAATCTCTATGCTAAGCTAGGATAGCGCAGTCTCAACCACTCCCCCTTCGGGGCCTACTGCTGCATGAAGCCTTCCGCCCAGGGAAAGCCGTTCTTCTGCTTTCTGCATTTGCTGGCCGACTCACAGCTCTGGAATTCGTCTACACATTGATGTTTCTTCAGCTGCCTTGAGTCAGAGAAGCCCTGGCCGCAGTGCTCGCAGGTGTACAGCTTGACCCCGGTGTGGATCTGCATGTGAGACTTGAGCTGGTTGGACTGCCTGAACTTCCTGTTGCACACCACGCACTCGTAGGGTTTTTCTCCGGTGTGGATCAGCAGGTGGCGATGGTAGTTCTGCGGCGTCCTGAACTCTTTGCTGCACTCTTCACACTTGTGAGGCTTGACTCCGCTGTGCAGAAGCTCGTGCTGCTTCAGCTGTGACATCAGCAGAAAGCCCTTCTGGCAGATGCTGCAGACGTGGGGCCGGTCGCCGCTGTGCTGCCTCATGTGGTACAGGTACAGGTGGCGCAGGTGGAAGGACTTACCGCAGGTGTCGCAGGTGAAGTCCTTGTTCTGGGCGTGGCTCTTCTCGTGTGTCCTCAGGGTGGTGTTGCTGCTGAAACTCTTCAGACAGCTCTTACAGCTGTAGGGCTTAGCTCGGGTGGGTCTGGGTCTACCCGACAAACTTCCGACCTTATGCTGGTCTTTGTTGTCGTGGACAAGTTGTTGGTGCTTCTGCAACTGGCAGTTGTAGAAAAAGGTCTTTCCACAGAGGTCACACATGAAGGGTTTCTCCATGCCGTGAACCAGCATGTGTGTCTTCAGAGCCCAGGTACCCGTGAAGCCCTCTCCACATTTATCACACCTAAGAGCGGAACAAATAACGTGTTACAGTCAGGGTTAAACACACACACCAACCCACCAAATACAATACAAGGCGCTGGTATAATTAATTGCAGTTAAAGATTCACATGAGTGCAAAAAAGAAAAGCTGAGCTTAGTACCAACCTGCTGACGATGGGACAGAACTATGATCCGAATGTACACTATTTAATTGACTGGCTGATTGCAAATAAATGTTAAATTCAAATGTAAAAAATGGTTATTTGAAGGCATTGGGTGTGCAGTCCCTTTTTAAAGTATATCTAATACTCTTCATTATCAATTAATCTTCCAAAAAATAGTGATTGAATTCTTTTATAATTCAGTCATTTCAAACGTCACTTTAGTGAGAAAAAGAGGCAGTATTTTCAAGCTGCAACTGGAGATGTTGAATCCTGAATTGTGTTTTTGAACTCTGACCCTGCCCTCTTCCTCTGGAGGAGCAGTGAGGAGTGAGGTTGAGTACCTGAAGGGCTTCTCTCCGTTGTGGAGGCGCAGGTGTCTCTGGAAGTTGTACTTGAGACCAAAGCTGAGTCCACAAGTCTGACACATGAAGGGTTTCTCCCCGGAGTGGACCACTCGGTGCTGCAGCAGCCCCATCTTACATTTAAAGGCCTTGTCGCACTCGCAGCACTTATAGGGCCGCTCCTCGGAGTGGGACCTCTTGTGGACCCGCAAGTTGCTGGCGGTGGAGAAGCTCTTCCCGCAGGCGGGGCAGGCGTAGGGCCGCGCCCCGGTGTGGACAGTCTGGTGCTCGCGGAGGCTCTTCTTCCTGGTGAAGCTTTTCCCGCAGACGTCACACATGAAGGGCTTCACCTGGGCGTGTGACACCTCGTGGTAGCGGAGCGCACCGGCCGAGGTGAAGGTGCGCTCGCAGACATGGCACTGCAACGGGGTCTTCTTCAGCCGGTGAGAAGCCTGGTGGACTCGGAGCTGCCGCAGCAGCCTGAACTTCCTGTCGCACTGGTCGCAGTGAAGTAGCTTGTCCGGGTCCTTCTGCTGAGCCTCCCGCAACTCGTGGCTCTGCAGGTGCTTCTGCAGACTCTTGGCCTTGCAGAAGCCTTTGTCACAGGAGCTACAGGGAAAAGGTTTGAGGTGGCACGACACATGTTTCCTCAGCTGGTGTTTCTGATGGAAGCCTTTGTTACAGAGCTCACAGAAGAACCTCTTCTCCTTGTATAGCTCCCTCCTCCTCTTTCTCTCCAGCTCCTTCTGCCTCTCCTCTTCCAGACCTGCTCCAGAAGACATTACATTACAATCAGATCCAGAGCTCACAAGTTACCTTCCACACTTTCTTGTGCGCTTTGACCTGAATCTCACTTCATCATTATTATTCTGTAACTACCTGTCTCACCGGGTTGACTGTCCAACGTCGCTTCAATGGTTTCCATCTTGATTTCTGTTTCCTGGGACACAGAAGAGAGGTTAAGTTATCATTAGAAACAAGATTAAGTACAAAAACCGAGAAAGAATTCTTCAACTCAGTTGCTTTTCTGTACAAGTACAATTATTTTATTTGTGATGGGCAGGTGAACGCGTTATTATCACGTTAACGCATTAATACAGACAATTATTATACTACGCAGTTTATAAATATATATTATTAATATAATTCTGCTTGTACCTGCTGATAAAAAAGAAAACAGATTAATAAATGTTAACTGTTGCTTGGGAAGGTGCCAGTTAGAAATATAATATAATAAGGTGCCCTTTGTTTTAATACTATAATATCAATGTCCTGGCAGGGTTAAATAGCTTTGGTTTTATTTTATTTGATTAAATACAATTATATTTACCAGAATAAATGTGGGCAAACACTACTTTTGACTTAATTATTGAATTAATCGCAATTACAAATTTTAATTGTTGACCAGCACTAATATTTATATATTATAAAAGACTTACAACAACTACAACAGACTGGTCCACTTCAGGTGATGGCATATTTTCTACCGTTGTCACTGGTAGACTTGTGGGCTCACTGATTGGCTGATTTTTATCCAAAGGAAGCGATGTTACTTCCCCGGGTAACTCATCAGGATCTGTGGAACCCTGGTTGACTTCTAACACCACCACAGTTGGAGAATCCTCGGAGTCGTAAGATGTGGTTTGATGAGGTTTCTCCGGAAGCACCGGGAGGGTGGGGCTGCTCTGGCTCGTGATTGGTCCTGGCTGGCTGATGATGACCAAAGGCACCTGAAGGTTGCTTCTTGTTCTGCGTCTGGATTTAGCGGAGTTGAGGATGGCCATAGCGAGGGCCGCCGGGTTGGCAGCTGATTGGTTAATGTCCAGTGACAAGGCGGGACCATCTGGGGGATTCAGTATGATGAAAAACAGCCACACGGGAAACATCTCACATCATGTGTTCTTCCTTTATCTTTGAGTGATAAAACACTGTTTACAGAATCAAACTTTTGTGCTGTTACTAAAGTGGCTACGTAAAGTGCAAGGTGAAACCATTCCTACATACAGTCTATGAGGTCACCGTAGGGCTAACAACAATCAATAACCCACAACAAACGCTCCATAACAGGGTAAAACACAACAACTTGTGACACATAAACAGTTTGTAACACATAATTGTACATTTATAAAAATGACCCCCGCCGAACTGCATGCTGGGTACAGCTCACAACAACAATGAACTCTCTTGCTACATGGAAAAGAGCGATACGGGAGGAACAACGAGAGACCAGAGATGCACCAACACAACTTGTGCCCAAGAGAGGAGCCGAGTCGTAAGTTAGATCAGAAAACGATTTATTGCAAAGTTGGTTGAGCCGCTGGTATTTTCTCTGGTGGCAACACTAGCGGGCTACGAGGTCACCACGTTCCTATGTAGAGTCTAGAAAGTAATACCTATGGTCTACGAGGTCCCTATGTTACTACGTACAGTCTATGAGGTCACTACATTCTGATAGAGGCGACTTAAAGTCTCATTAGGTGAAACCGTTCCCTAATAGGTCAATCTACCTAGACCCGTGAAGCATTAAGAGAAACTGAGTTCAACAACTTTGGGTGCGGGCGGACTTCCTTCCTTTGGTTCCTTCACTCCTCAGAATGTATTTACACCAACAGTTTTCCCTATTGATCCAACTAAATTTAAAACGCTTCATAGTTTCCATGAACAAAGATGTAATCTGCTCAGTGAGCCTTGACTCACCTGATGATTTGATCTTATAAACCGTCTGAGGCTTCTCTACCTTTGACTTCAGTTCACTCTCCAAATGTCCCACTTTGTGCTTCAGAGCTTCGTTTTCCATCACTAAGCTAACAATGAGCTCTCTGAATACTCTGCAGATCTTACGACCAGCCTCTCTGGTCACCACGTGGAGGACGGAGGTCAGCAAATCCTGCAGGGAAGGCGTTAACCTTAAAGTTAGTTCAAGGTTATTTGTGTTAAATGCCATACTGTAATCAAGCTTCCTTTTCACCAGTAAACTGAAGTTCTGGTAAGAACGGCAAGAAGACATTTTATATTTCACATGAGCTTCAACGGATTAAATATTAATGAATTAATTGAGAAAACAATCAACAGATTATTGAATACTGAATATTTTTCTGGTTCATCAATCATCAATCTGAATTCCATATAATATATTGTATTGGAAAGCAGCTTCTACAATAGTTGCAACAATTATTTGACTTATGTGTTAGAGAAGACATTCTTTGATTTAAGCTCCTTAAATGTAAATATTGTGATGTCTTCTTTACTCCTCCCTGACATTAGAATATCTTGGAGTTATGGACAGTACTTGACATTTGATGACGTCAGCTCCGGCTTTTGGGAAAGAAACTCGGACAACTAATTGACAAATCAAAGAAATAATCAATTGTCCATTGTCACAAACCAGTTAAAAGGGAGTGACGACATGTAGGCTGAGGAGGCGGGACATCACCATAATTTACTAAATGAAGATCACGCCGTATTGAAGAAGACTTGTAACTAGAGATTGAGACCATAAACTCATGTTTATGGTCTCAATCTCAAAAGGGAACAATTCAAAAGAAAAGTCATTTTCTCAGACTACTATACAATTCAATTTAATTCATATTAATCTTTTTTTACTATTAATCAATTATAATTATATAATCAATTCAGTTATTATTAGATCAATACATTTCTAATTCTATCCTAAATTAATATTAATTTATTATTAGGTAATTATTTGATCAATAAACTAGGAAGTCCGTCTAAATTTGAAATCACGTATCTGTAGTCTCGCGTAATTTTAACTCCCACCCCAAGAAGGAAGTGACATAGGGATTTTCCTCTGAAGCAGTGTAGCCATTTACAAACGTTATATATGTATTTACTGGTGTGTGTGTGTGTGTGTGTGTGCGTATATATATATATATATATATATATATACATATACACAGTTAATTACGTGTCCTCTCACCCGTCTCTCCGGGCGGTCCCTCGTCCCCTCAGCGAGAACACACACGGCTGATTCCACCGCCGCCTCCATGATCTGCTCCGTCTGACTAACAAAAGTTTCGGTTCTCTCCATCACGGCCCGCGAGCTTCACGGAGGGTCTCTCGAGGGTAGACGAAAGTTCTGTCCCGTTCTGCCGTGTCTACAATTGTAGGAGAAACCGTGAAACACGAACACTTTGGATCTTTGTATCCAACATGGCGCTTTGATTACATCCGGTTCACTTAGAGCTCCCACTTTTCAAAGTAAAAGTGTGGTGGTCACGTTTGTTTTCCCAAACTTACATAACACTTTTAACTGACACTTTAACTGAATTTTTGCATTAGGTCTGTCTTCACGCTCCCGAAGACATAATGTAGCTGTTGATTACGATACGGAGAAGAGTCACATCACGGTGTATAACTATATACGTCTAATTAAACAATAGAGTTACACACTATGACCAGAAAAAGGCATTGACTAGAAACTAGAAAATGCATTTCCTGAAGAGGATGCGTTGGAATGCTGAAAGCTAAAAGCTTAAATTAATTTTAAATTGATCAAAATACAGACATGATACTATTAGTCATAGCACTATGTGTAGTAAAATTAGTGGTAGTTGTAGTATTAATAGCAGCCTAAATACAAGTACTTTTTGTTATAGTAGTATGACCTGGTGATATTACATTACAGGTCATTTACCTAAGTCGCTTTTATCCAAAGCGACTTACATTGCATTTTAACCATTGGCTTTTTACGTTTTTGCCCGGGGAGCAATTAGGGGTTAGGTGTCTTGCTTAGGGACACTTCTACATGGGACATGGAGCAGCCGGGTCTCGAACCGCCAACCTTGCGGTTCCTGGCGCCACCGTCGACCCCTGTCCTATTATTATATTCTGCGCACAAGAGACGGAATGAACTGCAGCTAGAGACTACTATTGTCACGACCGGACAATGGCCCTGAACCCAAATGCACAACTGTGGAGACAATGTTCGAAATCAGAGTTCATTAACAAAAAGGCAGCAACTGAAAATCACTCTTGGTAGAGGAAAAGGCACTGTGCTAAATCTAAGAACAAAAGGATCTAGAAAATAAACACCAGGCCCCCCGTCTGTTATGAGGTGCGGGGTGTGGGAGGTAGTGGATAGTGTGTCCATAGAGGGGTTGGAGGGTGTGGTCTACCACATCGATGACTTACTAGTGTGGGGGCGGGACCAAGACGAGCACGACACTCGACTCCATGCTGTGCTGCAAAGACTGGAGAAAGCAAGCATCAACCTGAATGTGGAAAAGTGTGAACTCTCCAAGAGCGAGATGGGCTTTTTGGGCCACATCTTTTCAGCCACAGGCATCCGGCCCGATCCGAAGAAGACGGAGGCTATCACGGAGATGAAGGAGCCCACAAATGTAAGTGAAATAAGGAGTTTTCTTGGCATGGTCAACCAGCTGGGGACCTTTATTCCTCAGACGGCTGAAAAAGACAAAGTACTACGTGACCTCCTCTTGAAAAATAACTGCTGGGTGTGGGACCAGGTAACGGCATTTAAGGAGCTGAAGGCCTCCTTCTTGCTTCTCCTCCAGTGCTGGCCATGTATGACCCAAACAGAGACACTAAAGTATCAGCTGATGCATCTTCGTATGGCTTGGGAGGCGTTATTCTCCAGAAGGTTGACGGGAATTGTTCCTGTGGCTTATGCATTGCGGTCACTCTCTCCAACTGAACAACCATATGCACAAGTTGAAAAAAACATTTAAAGCCCTCTGAGGCAAATTTAGGATTTTGGGCTGAGTCCCTCAGCTCCTTTAATTGACAGTTTCTGCAAGTCGGAATTCTTAAAGACATTCTTAAATTACATTCCATACTATTTTATTCTATTTCAAATCTGTTAACATCTTTTTATTATCCTTTTAATGACTTTTTATTTTATGTTTCAATGTATCAATGTTCTTAACTGTCGATGAATCTCTTCATCCCCTTCAACCCTATCGCTTTATGTTTGGATGTTTCTAATGGTTTTATGTGAAGCACTTTGAATTGCCTTTTGTGAAGTGCAGTCCTTGGGGGGAACGTGGAATAACAAGGATACAGCAATGGGTTTTTGCAAAAAGTTTTTTATTGTCTGTTTTAATCACACGAGCGTCCGGCTCCAGCTTCCTCGCCTGCCTGAGTCTCCTGTCGCTGTCGCCGGATCTCTCCTTCTTAAGGATCTCTCTCACACACACACACACCCTGATTACTCCCACCTGAGGCCAATTATGCCTCCCCCTGGCACCGTTCCCCGAACCACTCCCTTCTCCGTCCCCTCTGCAGCTGAGCCAAACCACGCCCGCCACCACAGCCTTGTTGTTGAAGTGTGCTGTACAAATAAAATTGCCTTGCCTTGCCTTAAGCAGCTTAGTTGGAATCAGATCCAAGAGAAAAGTAGAAGATTTAGACTTCTGAATTGTAGAAGTCAGTCAAGGTTGATGAAAGAAAAGCCATCCAAGTAGGTATCAGGGCCCAGTGCTGCATCCAAGGTTCCTACGTCCGAGGACGGGTCAGCACTGGTTGAAGGCAGGAGACCATCAATTTTCTCTTTGATAGTCAGAATCTTATCATTGAAGACATTCATGAAGTTGTTACTGCTGAGACCTAAGGGTTAAAGCCTAGTTTATACTTCTGCGTTTTCAGAGCGACGCAAGGAAAAGCAGACACAAGACCCCCTTGCGTGTCCCTTGCGTCGACACGGTGCGTAAAGATGCAGAAGCATGCGCCAACCTTAAGGAACAGACTGCTCGACAGAGCTGTGGTTCTGTTAGTCTGGCTACAGTGCTGATAAGTTAAGTTACTTGACATTAGTAACTGATGTTAACTCCGTCATGCTGCCCCCCCTTACATACTTTATACGTTTTTCGGGTTTAAGGCTTTAATTGTTAAGCCCAGCGGGTTGCTAGGCAACGGGAGCAGTGGAGGTAAAGCTGATCACCCAAGCAAGAAGTCAGCCTATGCGGTTGTTGGAGGACCCAGGCCAGGTCTACCGCGAAAGCTGCTGAAAACTAGAGGCTACAGAGACGCAGCCTAGCAACTTTGAGACAAAAGCTATAGTCACCACTGCAACCCAGAATGCTTTGCTTCCGTCAGATGTTACCTTTGATTTGACATCACATGAATTAATCAGCTCACTCACATCCATCGCCAACAACAAGTAATTTCTCTCTGAAATATTTGTTCATTAACCCAAAAACCCAGTTTGTCCCCTGACTCTCACGTGACCTTAAGGAAATGGTCATGTGACCTTTAGCTGAATGTCATGTGACCTTCAGGAAACAGTCATTTCACCTTCAGGTGAATCTCATGGTAAGGCCCTCACATTTAACCAGAGGTGTAGTTGTCTGATAGAATAAACAAAACAGTATCAAATTTTACATCAACACCTTGGGCCCAGAAAAGCTCAAACCGCTGAGTCCAACAGGAGTAAACTGGAATTGGACTGCAGTTAAACTTGAGTCAAACTAGAGTTAAACTGGAATTACAATAGAATTCAACTCTGGGGTTGAACTAGAGATAAACCGTAGCTAAACTGCAGTCTAATTGGAGTTAAACTGCACTCAAACTGGAGTTAAACTCTAGTTAAACTACGGTTAAACTGGAGACAAACTGCTCTTAACAGTTAGACTACAGTCTAATTTAAAGTCTAATAAAACTGGTTGAACTGTGTTTTGACTCGAGTTAGCCTGCAGCTAAACTGCAGTTATGGATGATACCAAACCAAAAATGTTATTTTGAACATAAAAAAATCATTACTTACTGTCTTTTTCTTCCACACACAGATTCACAGATTACCTTTTAATTATAAAAACATGTTTGATTGACATATTCAGATTATTCTTTTCACAGAGTGGAGATTATAAACTTTTTTTTCTCTTTACGGCATTTTGCTCCACAACTGCCCTTAACCTTAAAATACAACCTTAAAATACATTTGAATCTTTTCACGTGGTCAGATATAAAAAATATCCAGCAGAAAGACAACAGAAAACTTTGCTACACTTTTAGGCCACACCTCCCAGTGCTCTGACTGGACAGAAGGACACCTGATCAACTACGCACAATAATTGTTTCTGTTTCCTCAAATAGTTTGATGCTTTTCATATTTTGTAAAAGAATTTAGTTAATTTAAGTGCTAAATAATTAGTACAAAATAAAATGGTTAATATCTTCTTAATACTGATTTTATCACATAATCTTTTTGACTCGGTCTAGACATCCGGATCGAGACCCACATGAGGTGACTTCATTTATAAAACCATTAGGATACATCTTTTTATAATTTGAAAAACCAAGGTATTAAAATATTTACCGTTTAGGGATAACAAAAACTGTCACATGATCAGACTCAGTAAATAGAGTATTAAATATTGATTTATTTGAATAATGTGTAGAAATTATGTTGTTGTTTCTGTTCATTTTATAGATATTTGGTTATTTTCTTTCTTCTCTTTGATGTCAACACTCTCTGCTGTATTTTTTTATTAGTGCCATACTTGATTAATTAATAATTGAAGGTCCAGTAATATAGGCTTCATCACTTTAAATTTAACAACTTTATTCATGTGTTAACGCCTACAGCTCGCAGTGATACGGGTTAGGCTTAACTTCCGCTAACTGATGTTTGTAAATTTGATTAAACTCGATAGACTGATTGACGGCAGTGAAGGGTCAGCAGATACTGTCCATTAAACAAAAAGAGAAAAACAGCAGTTCGGAGCATAAACAAGCTGTTAATGTGTCCTGATGGCTTCATCTTCATCATCATATTTATCATCATCATTATCACCACCACCATCAATGACTACATTTACATGCACACTAATATTATTCTTTGATACGACTCATCCAAACAGATTATTCTGAAATAGACTCAGTTTACGGGAGGATTCTTTGGACGTGTATTCAGTACATTCCAAAAATAAACATGACTTCTTGCGTGTTTTCCTTTTTGAAGAACCATGAAAACAAAAGATGGAACAGTGACAACAAGGGAACACCACAGGAGCAAAATGACGGCACGAGAGAAATTCATCTGATGGGCATCACTGAAGGCCCAATGGAAACATTTCATGTGATCTCTATTGGCCACATTGACATCTTAGTAGGAGAATTATCTTATTTTGAATAGGGACATAGTCGTGGTTTCTGTGTGCTGTTTTCAGATGGCCGTGTCCCAGAACACTGCTGCCGTCTGTCCGGCGACGGCGGCGTAGGGCGGCGGCTGCTTTCTCTTCCAGCTGGGCAGGATGGGCATGCTGTCCTGTTTACAGAGATTCTTCTCAGGATGCTGACGAGCTTTAATCTCTTGACATAAAACTTGTTTCTTCTCAATCATCTCCATCATGGTGGCGTCTCCGCTGAGCCAAGGCATCTGCAATCAATCAATCAATCAATTAAGCAATTAACCAATCGATCAACTAATCTAACAATTAATTGAACAATCAACCAATCGATCACCTTTTACTTTTGCCTCATTGATCACTTTCTACCTTTTAATACAAATTTGAATACTTTCTACCTCATACTAATTAATCCCTGTATAATTTATTGATCACATTCTTCTTTTATTATTTATTGATCACTTTCTAGCTTCATCACTCATTGTTTATTAGTGTTTATTAGCAGACTGTGGGACATGAAATGCATTGTGTGTTTTGGCTATTTAGTATTTTTTTACAAAAACAGAAGATACACATGTGTATCTTTAAAAGTTCTCTGAATGAGATCTAATTCCTTGGTAGAATCGAAGGGACATTTGAACACGTTGGATAAAAGCGACAGCTAAATTATAATTTCTCTTCAGCACTGTAGCCCGACTGACAGAGAGTCACAGCTCTGTCGAGCCGTGTATTCCTTTGGACCTCACTAGTAACGACTTCATGAACTTCTTCAATGATAAGATTCTGACTATCAAAGAGAAAATTGATGGTCTCCTGCCTTCAACCAGTGCCGACCTGTCCTCCGATGTAGGAACCTTGGATGCAGCAGTGGGCCCTGATGCCTGTTTGGATGCCTTCTCTTCCATCAACCTTGATCAACTGACTTCTTTATTTTCAAAGTCTAAATCTTCTACTTGTCTCTTGGATCCGATTCCGACCAAGCTGCTTAAGGAAGTTTTTCCTTTAGTTAGCACATCCTTATTAGATATTATGAATCTGTCTTTGTTGACAGGACATGTACCACAGTCCTTCAAGGTAGCTGTAATTAAACCTCTTCTTAAGAAACCTACTCTTGCTCTAGAGGTGCTGGCTAACTACAGACCTATCTCTAATCTTCCCTTCCTCTCTAAGATCCTTGAGAAATCCATCGCAAATCAATTATGTGACTTTCTACAAAACAATGCTTTGTTCGAGGATTTCCAGTCAGGATTTTGAGCGCATCACAGTACAGAAACAGCACTGGTGAAAATTCCGAATGATCTTCTACTTGCATCGGACCAAGGACTCATCTCTTTTCTTGTCTTGCTGGACCTCAGTGCCGCATTTGATAGCATAGACCATTGTATCCTGTTGCAGAGACTAGAACATTTAATTGGTATCAAAGGAACTGCACTCAGCTGGTTTAAATCCTACTTATCGGACCGATCCCAGTTTGTGCTTGTAAACGGTGAATCCTCAAAGACCACCAATGTTGGTCACGGACTCCCACAAGGTTCTGTACTTGGACCGATTTTATTTACCCTCTATATGCTTCCTTTGGGCGATCTTATCAGGAAACACCGCATAAACTTCCATTGTTATGCAGACGATGCTCTGCTGTATCTGTCGATCAAGCCAGAAGAGACGGACCAGCTAGTTAGACTTCAAGAATGTCTTGGAGACATCAAAACTTGGATGACCGGCAACTTCCTGATGCTAAACTCAGAATAAACGGAAGTTATCCTGATAGGCCCAGAGCGCCTTCGAAGCCAGCTGTCACGTGATACAGTTTTTATGGATGGAATTGCTCTGGTACCCAGCAGCACCGTCAGGAATCTGGGAGTCCTCTTCGACCAGGATATGACCTTCAACTCGCATATAAAGAAGACTTCAAGGACTGCCTATTTTCATCTACGTAACATATCAAAAATCAGGAACTTCCTGTCTCAAAGTGATGCAGAAAAATGAGTTCATGCGTTTGTCACTTCCAGACTGGACTACTGTAATTCTTTGTTATCAGGCTGCTCTTGTAAATCTCTTAAGCCTCTCCAGTTGATTCAGAATGCTGCAGCACGTGTATTAACAAGAACTAAGAAAAGGGATCATATCACTCCTGTATTAACTTCTCTGCACTGGCTCCCTGTTAAATCAAGAATAGATTTTAAGGTACTTCTCCTCACCTACAAGGCACTTGCTGGTGAGGCACTGTTGTATCTTCAAGAGCTTGTAACACCTTATTGCACTACAAGGCAGCTGCGCTCCATAGATGCTGGTTACTTGTTGTTCCTATGGTTTTAAAAAGTAGTCTGGGGGCCAGAGCCTTCAGTTATCAAGCTCCTCTTTTGTGGAACCAGGCACTTTCAGTCCGGGGGGCAGATTCGGTCAGCTCTTTTAAAGTAAAACTTAAAACTTTCCTCTTTTGATTGTGCCTATAGTTAGGGCTGGCTCAGGTTAGCCCGGACCAGCCCTTAGTTAAGCTGCTATAGGCTTAGAATGCCGGGGGAATTCTTAGGACACACCGAGCTCCTCTCTCACGCTCTCGTTCTACCATAATTCAAGTTTTATTAATGCACATGACTAATTCAGCTTCTTTCCGGGAGTTTTTTTTTTTGTGCTTTCTCCCCTATCAGGTCTCCGTAGATCGTGGTTCCTTCGGGACCCTGGTCCTGACACCTGCCGTGGCCCTGCTGACGCCTGCTGCTGCCATCATCATCATCTTCATTATTATTTTAGATATTAATCATATTACTGTACCCTGGCTTACTACTCACAATTACTTGAATCATTTCTGTCATAGGAATTGCATGTATTATACATTGTTCATTCTGTACACATAGCATCCATTGTAGTCTGTCCATCCCGGGAGTGGGATCCCTCCTCTGACGTTCTGCCTAAGGTTTCTTCCCTTTTTTTCCTCTTGGAAGGGTTTTTTCATTTTTTGGGGAGTTTTTCTGTGTTGGGAGTTTTTTTCTGTGTTGGGAGTTTTTTTCTGTGTTGGGAGTTTTCCTGTGCCGATGGTGGGTTTTGGGACTGATAATCAAAGTATGAGGCTTAGTAAAGGCTATAAAGGCTTAGTTGGGGGTTCGCTGTCTTGTCTTGATTTAAGAGTTAGGTAAGGGGGGAAGCAGGATGTGAGGAATGCAAGGTCTGCGGGTCAACTAGAAGATTTACCAGCCAAAGGGGGTTAGAGACACACCAACGCTATTCAACATACACACTCTGTTCGCTGATGTTTACGTTAAGTCAGGAGTCTGGACATTGGATGTGACCTGATCTTTAGATGCGGGAGGTGGAAGGTCCTCCTCTACGCCAGTTTAGGGCCAATAGAAATCTTTCTTTCTCTGTCTTTCAAGGGTTATAAAACATGATGTTCTTGCTGATGTTAGTTGTTCTTCCGGCCTGTGTGCTGCCTGAACTGCTCCTGCCTTTGCAAATGACTTCCCAGAACGAGAGAAGTCGTTCGGCTGAATTTTTGATAACCCCGACCAGGCTCCAAATCTTGAACACGTATTCTTACAGGACAGAGGATGTTGTATGTGTACAGACTGTAAAGCCCTCTGAGGCAATTTGAGGTAATTTGCGATTATGGGCTGTACAAAATAAAATGAATTGAATTGTTCTGTGACTACTTCTTCTTTTGCTATGTTTATACCCAAAAAACGGGTTGACAGTGGTTCTCGCATCTGATCTGTAAACAACAGCTTGACTATGTCACACCTGTATGTCAAGTTGGGTTTTTGACCTGTCTCTACGTTTGTTTTCGTGACTTCCTGTTTTATTTTAGAGATTAAATATTCTCTCGTTTCAGGTACCTTTCCCTTCCTGATGTGTCAGCCGTCTGATTGTCTTCCCTGATTCCTGATGTGTCCAGCTGTTCCCTCTTCCCCCATGTGTTCATATAGTCTGCGTCTCCCTTTGTCTTGTGCCAGTGTGTCGTCCTACGTCGTCATACCTGCCAGTGTCCAAGATCCATAGTTTGTCTAATCTCGTGACCATAGTTTTACCTCGTTCGAGTGATTTTTCTTTGTAGCTCTTTTTGTTCCAACGTCAGGTCTCCGTTAGGTTTAGATAAGTAGCTTTGTTTCACTCCTTTTGGAGTGACTTTATTTTTGGACCTATTAGTGCTCTGTGTGAATAAACTGTCACCCTATACACCTGCTCTGCCTCCCGTCTGGGTCTGACAGATTAGTCTGATGATGTGCAACAGGACTCTTGAGGCGTAACCCTCAGAATAGGATAAAAGCTGTACGTTTTGTCCACTCTGTGTGAATTGTTATTATTATAAGTCATCAAAAGCGATGTGAATTTTCGCCAATTACTCGACCGACTAGTTGTAGTTATTTCGCCTTCATTGGCTCCTGAAAGGGGGCGTGGCTTATATATGTTACTTGTCTCCGTAAATGATTACAAGTTATAATAATTTCCACTATCCACCATGGAAATAAACAACCACTATTTCTGCTCTTTATTTGTTGTGTGAACTACACAAACGTCGGAACCGGTGTTGTGTTCGGGTTCATGATGTCATCCGTCGCCGCACACAGCTGGAATGTCACCGACTCCTCCAGGAAGTGCGTCTGGATGACTGCGGCCTCCCGGCTGCTTCAGGCGGACCAGCAGCCGGTCTGATGACCTGTTGTGTCGGATCGGCGCGTCTCTCTTGTTAGACTCAAACTAACTTACAGGCGTTCAGTCTCTGTGTGTCTCCGGTGAGCGGCCGTTTCATAACGTGTGTTCACAGTGTGGCAGCAGGAGGCAGTGATGGCGAGCGGAGCATCTCAGCGCTGATTGGCTAACTTTTTGAACTTTAAATATTTCAACTTTGGTGAAAAAACGATTTATTCGCTTCGCTTCTTTCGCTTTTTCGCGTCCCCTGTACTGCGTCTTTCTCGTCTTTCACGTCCTTCACGACGCCCGTTGAAAATGTTCTTCCTCCGCAACCATTTGTGGCTGTGCATTGACTTTGCATGGAATCTACTCGCGCCAATCATTCGCTTCGCTTTTAACGTGTACGCAGCATTAGTACTGATTTTTAAAAGCATTTATAACATATGCATAGAACATGCTCTCAATGTATTATGTTGTTCACTGTGTACACATTACATCTGTTTCCATTTCTGTCCATGCAGATAGAGGGACTCTGTTGGGAGGGTCCTGGCACAGAGGGTGTCATCTGTTGTACAGACTGTAAAGCACTGTGGGAACTATCAAAAGGTATTTGGACCCTGACGATACCTGGGGTTATTTCATTAGGATGACCTTCATAAGTCCCATCCATCCATCCATCCATCCATTGTCAAACTGCTTATCCTGCACACAGGGTCGCGGGGGGGCTGGAGTCCAGGGTACACCCTGGATTGGTCGCCAGCCAATCGCAGGGCTACACAGAGACATACAACCAATCACACTCACATTCACACATCTGCGGGCAATTTAAAGTCCCCAATTAACCTGATCCCCAGAGCATGTCTTTGGACTGTGGGAGGAAGCCAGAGAACCCGGAGAGAACCCACGCAGACACGGGGAGAACATGCAGACTCCACACAGAAAGGCCACTGGGCGGAATCGAACCCAGGACCTTCTTGCTGTGAGGCAACAGTGCTAACCACCACGCCACCGTACCGCCCTTCATAAGTTTAAACGCTAATTGTTAACCATGATTACACTTTAATACGTTTCCTCCTCTGTGAGCATATTTCTGAGTCGTGTGGGATGCATTTCATTATCAATAGTTGAAGTTAGTCATTGAAGTGAAGACTCCCATGACCCAACACTACCTTTGAGGTAGTCTGTCTATTGTTACTGTTTTGATTGAGAGAAATGACATGCTGTGCTTCGGAATTTGGTGAAATGAAATATTTTATCAATCATAAATCAAGATTGGTTACACAAAGTTTCAGATTTCATGTCATGTATTATAGACCGAGAGACGGAACAAATCGTTTGTCAGGGAATCATAGTCTACTACAGATTAGGGGGTGAGGTTAAAGGCCAGGGTTAATATGGGATCGGTTAGGGATAGGTGACAACAGAGTTTTTATTAGAGTGAATGTAAAATAATTGATATAATTTAAATGCAATCCATTAAAGTGCTTGAGTGTAAGTATACTCACTGAAGTTTTAGTATTAGTGTGAAGTACGCTTTGTTAGTTTAATAATAATATCAATGAAAGTTTGTTAGTATGAGTATTAAATTACGACAGCCTGTTCTCATTCCCATAGGTTCAGGGTTAGGGTTAGCCTTACCCCAACTCTTCAGATTCTGTATGCAACAATGTCAACATGTCCTTATCAGTGAGAAACTCAAACTAAATGCTCAGAGAGCAACGACCAGAACAATTGTGTTGTTTCAAGTTTCATATGTGATGTTTGTCTTTAGTTTATGAACTTATGTTCAGCCCTCTGAGGCAAATTAGTAATTTGCGATTTTGGGCTATACAAAATAAAATTAATTGAATTGAATTGAATGTTCCATTGATTCTGCATATGTATTTTAGAGATATTCTAAGGCCAACCATAGGATCCTGAACCTTACCGAGTGGTCGTATTACCTAAACCTCATCCTAAAGTGTTTGTATTCGAATTTACAACGCTAACCACGTATTTAATGTGACTGTATTAGAGCGTCATTGTTTGACTTGCTGGACTAACATGTGTTAACAAGTGACACAGTGAATCTGACCAAGTGGAATGAGAACACGTTGAGTATAACTTCACTTTAAATATCACATTTATATCAATGTCAGTTTTTAGAATTCATGTTGAGAATTGAAAAAAACATGAATTTACAACCAAATACTTTACACACAAATTTGATTATGAAATGTTTCTGTCCTATCCTGTGAGGAATATAAATTCTCCAATTATTTATATAAATAAAATATGACTATTATTATTTAATAATATACTTTTTTTTTTTTTTTTTCTAACTGATTTACAAAATGTATAGAAGCAAACAGACAAGTAACACAGTTACACAGCAGCCTGATCTCCAAAACCTGTTCGTAAAAATGTATACGAAAATCTTGAACATACAAATTCGTAGTGATACATACGAAATAAATACGGACTGCAACTGATGACGTCACCCTATTCAAAGTGAATGGGGACCTGCACCCCGTAAACACACTTTGTGAATTCTACCGATGTAAAATAAACGTGTTATGATTGAATTTTTAACGAGAAATCAATGTTAATTTGTAAGAATAGAATACTAACCCTAACCCCCTCAAAAAATCCAACATGGCGGAGAGACGTTCACTCAAGAATCCGACATGGTCCGCCATGTTGTTCACACAAGGGGCATGGTTAACCCCCGCAGTTCATATGTATTGTTACGAATTTGTATGTTCAAGATTTTTGTATACATTTTTACGAACAGGTTTTGGAGATCACGTTGTACACAGAGAGGTATACAGGAAGTAAACAGATGGGCAGACAGGTAGAAAGTCAGGTGGTCAGACAAGGGGATAAACCGTTGGACAGACATGTGGAAAGACCAGTGGACACACAAGTAAACAGATAGGTGGACAGAAAGGTAGACAGACAGGTGGACAGACTTGTTGACAGACTTGTTGACAGACAGGTGGACAGACATGTGGACAGACAGGTAGAAAGACATGTGTTACACAGGAGCGTACCTGGCTGAGGGCAGGGTGATGCAGCTCATACAGGTGACGATGCGGCGTCCCCCCTGGTGAAGGAACTCCTGACGTTGAAGCTGAACGGCCAAGTTTACACACCAACTTTGATTCTGCAGATTCTATTTTGGTTTTGCATCAATTTCCCAAAAGAAAAAAAGATTACGAAAGAAACCTCCCTTGTTAATAACTGAATGGTCTTCTAAAATATATTTACAAGCCGCAGATACATCAAAAAAATCACATCTATGATTTGGGTCAAAAAGCAAATAAATTAAATTAAAATCAACTTCACATTTAAACCTGACCTCCTCCTCCGGCTCCTCCTGACAGCATCATGGTGGGGCTCACAGATGACCTCCCCATCCTGCTTGGAAGTGGACTCGACTGTCCTTCTCTGTCTTTGCTGCCGTGTCTTGGTAGAGACCTGCAGTCTCCTACATGATTGAAACAAAGGAGACAATGAGACAAGAGAAACACACGATGAGAGAGGAAAAGCAGCTATGTAACTTAATGGAATCAATCTGTAAGACAAGGAAACCCAGAAGATGTGGTGAAAATAATTAACATGTAACTCGAAATAGATAGATAGATAGATAGATAGATAGATAGATAGATAGATACTTTATTGATCTCTCAAGAGGGAAATTTTGGTATCACAGCAGCATGTACAGGGAAGAATATAGAAATGTTACAGAATAAGAACTGTAAGATAAAGAAATGACTCTCCTCTTCTTTCTAATGACAAGATTAGAATTTGTTTATATTAAAAATATATTTTACATATAGTCATATGTGCATGCCTCATATATATATATATATATATATATATATATATATATATATATATATATATATATATATATATATATATACATACACATAAACAGGTTGTAATAGATTTTATATCAATCCATCCATCGTCAAACCACTTATCCTGCACACAGGGTCGCGGGGGGGCTGGAGTCTATCCCAGCCAATATTGGGCGATAGACGGGGTTCATCCTGGATTGGTTGCCAGCCAATCACAGGGCTACACAGAGACATACAATCATTCACACTCACATTCACACATCTACCGGCAATTTAGAGTCCCCAATTAACCTGATCCCCAGAGCATGTCTTTGGACTGTGGGAAGAAGCCAGAGTAACCGGAGAGAACCCACGCAGACACCGGAGAGAACATGCAGACTCCACACAGAAAGGCCACTGGGCGGCGGCGAACCCAGGACCTTTCCTGCTGTGAGGCGACAGTGATAACCACCACACCACCGTGCCGCCCTAGATTTTATATGAATATAATATATTTATTATATAATATTTATATTGTATATTTATAATAGTTATGATGTGGTATTTATATCATATACAGAATATATATGTTATATATATATATGTATACTGGCTGGCCCTACCATAAAAAATCCACCAGCCGCCACTGGTAATAACTCTAGAACTGCTTTCTTTATCTGGACAATTGTTTTTCTGTGGGGATAAAGGAGAACCTCTGTGGGTGTTCTGTTACTGGTGAATAAATCAATCAATAATCATTTTTTTGAGAATCGCCTGAAATAAAATGACTGAATCACATATAAGTGATAGCCCAGTGGATGGACAGTAGTCCTGGAAGGTTTTACATTGATTAAGTAGACTCATTCACACCCATTCCCTCCCATTCACATCCATTCCCGCTCAGATTCACATCTATTGATCATGTTGATCCTATTGACCCTATTGATCCCATTTATCCTACTGATCCCATTGATCCTGTTGATGCTACTAATCCCATTGATCCTACTGATCAAACTAAACAGAATGTTCAAATTGATCCTGCTTCATAATCTGTCTACTAGAATGTAACACTGAAATTAACTTTGAGCTCTGGAGGACTATATCACTGATGCAGAACTTGAGTGTTTACCTTCACTCCCTCTAGTCTTCCTGCTTCCTGTGACTTTCTTCATCACCTGTCTACCTGAGGTAAACAGATTGTTGAGTTCCTCCAATGGGCTTGGGGGGGTCTGTGACCTCATCGACACATTCTGCATGGAGCCGTGGGTGGAGGAGGAGTTACTCAGCTTGGCGCTGGCCTCCCCGGCCCTGTGTGAGGATGAGGACGAGGAAGAGGAAGAACGGGGCATACTCCCTCCTGCCATCAGAGTGTCATATGGTGGAGGTCTCTTCAGGCTCAAGGGAGTCAGAGAGCGGCCCATGCTGACCGGAGAAGGACACGCTGATTGGCTGCGGGGGTAACCATGCCCACTGTGGGCGGAGCCAGAGGACTTGTAGAGGTTGGAGGGGAGAGGCGGAGCTGATGAGCGGCCCGAGGAGGTTATTTTGTTTGTTGAGGCCAGGTCCCGGTCTCTGCCTCGTTCCCGCTCCTTGCGATGGTGGGTGGAGCTCTGAGGATGTTCGACGCCACCTGACTTGGAATAGGAGGGATTTTCCATCATGGGCAGCCGTGTGACCTCTAGAGGGGTGAGAGGAGACTCGTCAGAATTTGGGGAGCACTGAGCAGGGAGGGGGGGGAAGACGAGCAACGGGGGACGGTGAGTCAGGAGGTTGGGGAAAGGTGGAGGGATATCGCAGATGGATCCACGGGATGTCCAGGCTTCAAGATCTAATAGGGTGGAGTGGGCATCCTGCAGGAAGTCCTCCAGTATGGGATACTTCATCTCCTCGTACACAGCCTCGCTCTGCTCGTCCTCCTCAGTTTCTTGACCTTTCAGCTCTCGCGGAAAATTCCCCACCATCTCAATGTAGACAGGCTCCTCGTCCTCCGTGTCCCTCGATGCTGGACTCTGGGACGAAGATTTATCCCATCGCAAAGAAGACTTCCTGTTGTCATGGTTATGGATATAAGATTCATCAAAGGAGGTGCTGAGCTGAGTGTTTGGGTTCCTTTTGGGTTTAGGTGGAGGCATCTTCTTGTAGTCTTCACTGTAGAGATGGCATCCAGCTGCAGAGAGACAGACATTGATGCCATCCAAGAGGTGTTCAGTTTAACCCAGTAGATAAAAGTAGAGAAAAGTACTTTCTACAAAAAAAGATTTGAGACAAGAACAGAAAAACTATGGAGTCAAAACATATTTTGGTTAACTCTCTTTCTCTGCTCATTTGAATAAACCATTATTTGGCAAAGGTGGATCCCTACACTCACCGGTCACTTCTTAGGAACAGCTTGCTAGTAAAAGATTAGAACCCCCTTTTGCCTTCAGAACTGCCTTAATTCTTCATGGCATACTTTCATTATTCGGTATTTTGCATTCCTCGTGTGTGTGTGTGTGTGTGTGTGTGTTACTGAGGGTCACTGGTCTGTGAGAATGTGTGGGTCATCAGATAGATAAAGTTAGTGAGTTAGGGTATAATTAGAAAATAGTAAAAACTATGAATAAATTAATCCACAACACTCTCTCAAACTAGTCAGCCCATTTTCCTCTGACCTCTCACATCAATAATGCATTCCATTCACGTCCACACAGCTGCTGCTTTTTTGGACCATTCTCTGTAAACCCTAGAGATGGTTGTGTAAAAATCAGCAGTTTGTGACATACTCACACAAGCTCGTCATTCATGAGGTCAGAGGAAAACAGACTGCTTCGAGATGATAAAATGGCAACTCAAATAACCACTTGTTACAACAAAGGAAATCAGAATACCATCTCTGAACGCAGATCACTTGGAACCTTCAAGAAGATGGGCTACATCAGCAGAAGACCACACCGGGTGCCACTCCTGCACTTTCTTGTTTCTTGTTATTCTGAGTTTGTATCCTTATGTTTGAAATGCAGTTATTGTAAGTCACTTTGGATAAAAGCAAGCTAAATGACATGTAATTTAATGTAACAACAGGAAACTGAGACTACAAGTTGCAGGCTCACCAAAATTGGACAAGATTGATAGAACGTTACCTGGTCTGATGAGTCTCGATTTCAGCTGCGACATTCCGGTGGTACTGTCAGAATTTGGCGTAAACAATATGGAAGCATTGATCCATCCTGCCTTGTATGAACCGTTCAGGCTGGTGGGGTTGGTGTAATGGTGTGGGTAATATTTTCTTCCTACATTTTTGGCCCCTTACCACCACAGTCACCACATCTGAATCAAATTCAGCACTTTTAGGATGTGGTGTAATGTGAGATTTGCATCATAAAGTTCAGCCAACAAATCTGCAGCAATGTCATGCTATCATGTCAATATGGACCAGCATCTGGACCACTTTAGGCACTGATGCCTTGAATATATTGGTAGCACTAAGCGACTTCCATCTCAACATCAACCCTGCGCGGCACACAGTCTGCAGAGGACCACCACTGTTGCCCTGAAAGAAAGTGGTTTGGAAAATGTCCTGGCTAAATCTCGAGAGATTGTTGGGCACTTTAAACACAGCCATCTAACTCTATGGAGAGTTGAGAGGACAGCGACATGCACAGCAGGAAGAGTCTCTAGTTCCAGATTTTCCACCCAGTGGAATTCTGACTTGGGGCTATTACATTATATTACAGGTCATTTAGCTGATGCTTTTATCGAAAGCGACTTACATAGCATTTTTAACCCATGGTTTTCAAATTTTTGCCCAGCGAACAATTAGGGGTTCGGTGTCTTGCTCAGGGCCCCTTTGACATCCTTGCGGTTCCCGGCGCACCCTCTCTACTCCATGCGCACCATCGACCCTGAGATGATCAAATGTGTGTAGTTTTTTGTTTATAAAAATGCAATTAAACATTAGTCTCTAAAATAAATGCTTTTAAAAGTGATTACTTGTTAATTTATAAGATCATTTTTAATCGCAATTAATCGCAATTAATGAATTTCAAAATGTGACAATAATTAGTTAACTTTTTTTTAAAATCTATTGACAGCTCTAATATATATGTCACAATTACACACCAGGTGTCATGTCTAACCAGCTGATGTTATTTTTAACCATTAAACATTAACCACCAGCTGGTGTAATTTCTAACTAGCAGGTGTCTAACTAGCTGTCACGTCAGCTGTGGGGTTTTCACCTTCGGCCTGCTCTGAGGTCTCTCTGGTCTCTTCAATATCTGTCTTTGGGACTCCAGTGCCTCCGTTCACCATCTCAGAGCTGCTGCTCAGTTTGGTGTTGGGGTCTCGCTTTGGTTTGGGTGGGGGCTGTTTACGGTTTGGACTGCAGTCATCATCTCCGCCCACAGAGTGTAAGGACTGTGATCGAACGGTGAAACCCTGACTTGGGGGTGGCAGACGATCCTGCGGTGCGGGCATTGTCATGAAACCCATCCTGAAATGTTTTCCAGAATATGCCCCGTCTGTTGCCATGGCTACATCTTCACCAATCCTGGAAGTTGAGGGACAAAATTGTAGATTATTTATCAATTACCAATTATTATCAATCACACAGCAACTAATAGAATTTACACAATTTAAAACTGTGGGTAACAATTACTATAAGAATGTTACACTGTGCTGTACTCTATATAACTGTATGTCCGTACAAATGTGCCCTCTGTAAATTCCAACATTCTATTCAGAATGTGAACAGGCAGCATTTGTTTAGCGTTCTCTAAATGTATTTTTTTCTGGCAGCGATTTGAGTAAATCCCTGTTTGTTCTATGACATACAAGATGAGCTTGAAGTTTTCATTCTAAATAAAGTTGAGCAGAGACAAAATCTAATTTTGACAAATTCTAAAACTCCAGTCAGAGAAGACATGGATCAAGTATAAAATACACTATTGATGATAATTCTAGAGCTCTCCACTTTAATGGGGTGCTAAATAGATTAATTAACTAGATATTTAGATGGTGTGGCTACTACTGCCATAAGAAGTTGCAATATATATATATATTATAATTAGCAGTTATATGCGATGCTTGATATGAGGGAAAACAATGGCTTGACTACCGTAAAGGGTTAGGGTTAGGGTAACAAAAAAAAGATGTCTACATATATAAGCCGCAGGTGTCCACGCGGCAGAAAAACAACTGCTGATGCAGAGTCGTCCGCGCCGGAGAGGCCTTTACGTCTCAAAAATCTGGGACCACGATGGTCCACCGCTAAAATCTTCTTTTCGGTGGCAATTATTTTGGCTTTCAGTCGGATCTGCACGGTTGAAACACCTCAGCCATCTGCTCTCTGTGTGTTCACCCAGTCTTCAAGAACGTTTTAAAGTTTGGGCGATCTGCTTTTATTTCCTCTGCAAGCTTTTGTCATCTTTTTACATCGAGTACGTTCTTCACATTGCCGTCTCCAATGTCTCACCATTGATTCCTTAATGGCAAGTTTACGTGTAGCCGCTCTGTTTCCTTCTCCGACAGCCAGATTGGTTGCCCGTAACTTAAATGCTGCATCATATGCATTCCTACGTGTTTGAATATGATGCGCAAAATGGCTGTTCGAAACACAATCAAACGTCTTCCTCAGCGCATTATCTCTTGCACTTGTCTGACTCGCTCTCGTGTGCTAGCCCGTGAGAAATGATACATTAGCCACATCGTTGTATGAGCCGCAGGGTTCAAAGCGTGGGAAAAAAGTAGCGGCTTATAGTTCGGAATTTATGGTATGTCTGCGCATGAGTCAGTGCCGCAGACTGGTAAGACTAGCTAAAAAGGCTAGCTAGCTAAAGACATAAGAGATTTTCTCTGGTTATGGTGGCCCCATGGCAGTTGTTTGGGCCTGTTTAACCAAAGCTAGTGAGTGAGTGAGTACTACTAGTCATCATGGTGACAGAGTGAATGCTGGCGCGTCTGTAGGGTTGGTATGGAAGAGGCCCAAATGCCATGTTCATGCACTTTTCAAAGAACAGGAGCATGAAAAGTGATTTTTCATTTCATTTTTCACCACATGTAAACAAGTAGCCCTAGATGCAAAACTATGACTCCAATCAAACTAATCAAATTACATTTTTTAAATTTTATTTTGTATAGCCCAAAATCGCAAATTACAAGTTTGCCTCAGAGGGCTTTACAGTCTGTTCTGAAACCCGGGCGTACCGTCAGCAGCAAGTACACACCTTTCTGATTGAGTAGAGATCTGGCAGATATATTCTGCAAACTGAACACACCGAATATGTCTGTGCATGTCAAGGATACCCGCATTTAAACCTGAATGACACCTTGGGTTGCTTTCTGGAGAAAGCAGAGCTGTGGAGCAGTGACTGTGCACCGACCTCTGCTTTCCTCTGGTGGATAATTTTCTCTTAAGAGACAATGTGGACCGAGATCCAGTCATATCATGCCGAACCAAGATTTCTGTCACTACTCAGGGAAAACTCCTGGAAGTGTCCACTGACCGTGGCCTCCAGATGAAGTTTGAAACATCCACAAAAACAGATTTGGGTGTATTTGTTGAGGAGCACCCTAACCTGGGACACAAAATGCTATAAATGCATGATAAAATCGTTGTCGGAGTTAATGGATTTCAACATCAATGTATTGATAATGCGTTAATGTGCCAGGGGGTACAAATAACTAAACCAGGATTTCTTAGGATGGTGCCAGCGGAACCGCCTCCATATGAAACTTTAGCAAAACCAAGTAGTTGGTGGTGGACTTTCGCAGGGGTAAACACACTCCTCCTGTACCAGTACTTTCAGTGAATGGACATTGAGATTGTAAGATATTATAAGTACCTGGGTGCTCACTTGAACAATGAACTGGGCTGGACAGATCACATTTGTGTGTCTATTAGAAGGGTCAGAGCAGACTCTGCTGAGGAGACTGAGGTCCTTTGGAGTGGTTGGAGCACTCCTAAGGACCTTCTTTGACTTCGTTGTGGCATCTGCCATTTTTTATGGACTGGTCTGCTGGGGCAGCATTATATTGCTGGCCAACAGGAAGAACCTCAACAAGCGTATCAAAAAGGCCAGCAGTGTGCTAGGGTGTCCACTGTGCTGGAGGTGGTGGGAGACAGGAGGATGATGACTAAGCTATCATCCCTGAAGAGCAACACCTCCCACCCCATGGTGGCGCCCTGGAAGCTTTGTACAGCTCTTTCTTTCAGCAGTTGTTTATGTACTCCATTTTCATTTTAAATTTTGTCTATTATTATAATATTTGTACTTTTACTCCTGCGCTTGTTTTTTTTCATGTATCTTGTGTGCACTGTCCTGTGAATTTCCCTATTGTGGGACTAATAATGGAATATCTTATCTTATGCGTTTTCTACCTTTTGATGGCCTCTTCCTGTCGTCTCTTCTTCTGGTGTTTCTCCTGCATGTAAGTCCAGTTATTCTGGTTGCGGATCCGGTCGCTCTCTCTGGCGATGTCCGAGGCATTTTGGATAACCAGATTGTCGTATGTTCTAAGGCCACTGTCCTCCACATACTGAAAGAACCTCCTGAAGGAAGACGCCTCCTCCTGAGACCTCATGACTCTCCTGGGGACCTGAAGGATTGTACAACAGTTAGTTTACAAAATAATAATACATGTTAATACATGACACAAGTAGTAGTCAAAGCTGTCTACATTAGGAAACAAAATTATATTAGTGGTATTGCTTTACCTACTTAAAAATTATGACTATTACCAGGTGTCATGTTTAACCAACAGGTGACATGATTGACTAACAATGCTGTTGTTTATCATCTCAATGTTTACAAAGTGTTGCTGGCTATTTGCATTGTCATTGGCCTCTTATGTAAACATAAGTTATTAGTATGAATGTTCTTCAATGTATTTATTTATATTGCCCTCATATCTATTAAAGTGGGCTGCAGGGTGAAGTCACCATTGTTTGGCTATCAGGATGTCCCTGCTCCTCTACTCTCAGTCTGTTGTGGCCAGTGCTTTGTACTTCGCCGTGGTCTGCTGGGGGAGCAGCATTAGAGCCGGTGACACCAACAGACTTAACAAACTTGTTAAGAAGGCCAGCTCCATCATTGGCTGCAAACAGGACAGCTTGGAAAAGGTGTTGGAGGGGAGGTCACTGAAGAAACTGCTATCCATATTGGATAATCCTGACCACCCCCTCCACCACCTGCTACAGGGACAGCGGAGCACGTTCTCCAACAGACTCCTTCAGCTCCGCTGTCACAAGGACCGATACAGGAGATCATTCCTGCCCAGTGCAATAACACTCTACAATAAATCATCTCTGGCTAAATAATGACAATAATAACCATCTACTGCTGTAATGTTGCTGCTCTTCCTCTTCTCCTTTTACAAATTATTATTATTGCACTGTCTCTTCTTGAAGGTTATTCTTTTGTTTTAGTTTAGTTTATTTAATTTAATTTAATAATTTAATATTTTTTAACCTCATTATATTGTATATAATGTGTATCTTTTAATTCTATTTTCTTCCCTGTACATGCTGTGACACCAAAATTTCCCTCTTGAGGGATCAATAAAGTATCTATCTATCTATCTATCTACTCCAGAGGATGATGAAATAGGTTATATATTAGATGTTGTGAACCTCACTTTGTAAATAGACTCCACTTGTATGGGGTTAGGATTCATCCTTTTCTTCTGACCAGTTAGAGTGCTTGAACACTACATGTCATCATTCACCCCTTTCATATCGTGATGACAGGAGCTACGGTGTAAGGGGTTACCTGCTCATCTGGACTAAAAAAACCTTCACCCTATCATTCACCAAATTCACAGCATGCATAGCTCTTTGGGGTACCAGGCCAGGTCAAAGTGTTAGAGGGCATGTGTCTAATCAAAGGACACATTGACATGGACTAGCTGAGCCTGGTTTCTACAGTGAATTGAACAGCAATGTCGCACTGATCGATTATTGATATTGTAAATGCATCAATACAATAATACAGAGTCTGGTCCCCCCAGAGATAAGATCATCTTATACAGGTCTACCTTTTTGAGTACTAAAATAGTGAATACAAGTTTCACAATACTGAAGGAATGTCTCTCTCTCCTTTTCTCTCTCTCGTTCCCCTCCCCCACCACTCAGTCTCTTTCTAAAAATGGAACAGGGAGTCAGCTGGCGGTAACCTAGCAACAGCAGCATCCCCCAGAGGAGCATGATGTAATGCTCTCGGTCCTCGAGTGAGGAAGAGGAAAGGAGAATTTAAGGAGAAGGAAAGATAAGGAAAATAGGGAGAGGACCATAGAGTATGAAAGTGAAAGTAAAGCTAGTGGGATGGGGGGAATTGGAGGGGGAATCCAGTTTAGACAAAAGCCTCTAGCCTGCCTGCTTTTTCAGAGATTTCATTTATAAATTATTATTTCATAAATTGATTCCACTGCAGTGTCTTCCTGTATGGTCCATGTCCCTTTGGTCCTGCCATACTGTCTTCTCCAGGTGCTTTGACACTATGAACCCAAAAATAAAGGAGCCAACAGAAGATTCAGTGACTTGTGACGGGAGGTAGCTATGTAATCATTATACCGGGAAGTGTCCTCCTTTGCCTTGGTGGAGTAAATATCTACCAGGATGCTTAGAGTATTTTGTGACACAGCTAACCTCTACTTTGCTGACATCCAGTCAGCTAGTGTCCAGCATCGTAGCCATCTGCCTCTGATCTGGTCCATTCACCTTAGCAGACCTTAGTCTGAAGCCCACATCTCCCGAACCTACCACAGTTTCTTTGTTGGGGATCACAGTTGACAGTAATCAGGGATGTGATCTGACGTCTCAAAAGGTTTCTCGGTTGGGTTACTGGCTGACAAGGTCAGGGTTAGGTGCTCCACCTGTCGAGGTGGGAATTTAGTAGACCTGCCTCCTATCTGGATTTAGCACGTGCGTAAGTTTTACAGTCAATGTCTACAGGTGTGCCGTCATTGCATGAAGTGCACAATGGTAACTTTATGAAGCTACATTAACTTAATTTTTCATGATTCCCAGAGTTTGGGCTTTTCCAGACATGTATCGTCAGTACTTTGTCATAAAACATTGCTTGAGCACACTTCAGAGTGAACGACTTATGCAATAATGTACATTCAACCCAAACTACTGTTTATTCTATTTTCTTATATTGTTTTCTACTGACTGCCTCTCGTAGCACTTTCTACTTTGATGCCGTAATCCTGCAGATTACTCCAATGTGGTCCAATTAAAGGATTATCTTCTATAATCTATTCTTTATTTTATAAAGTTTCAGCTACTGCAACCACCAGATGTCCATGCAGCTGAAAAAGAGCTCCTAAAAAGGCTAACAATTATAGTTCGTTGCGTCAGTATGTAATATTAGCTGTGGACATACACAGGGATGCTCACATGTGCACTCATTCACAGATTAACTCATATGATTTATGTAAATATCTCCCATAGGAGATGAATCAGAAATCTGCTTTGGAGGATTATTAAGAACATTTCAGTTATATATTTATTGTGTCTCAATTTCAGAGATGTTGGTCAATTCTTTCAAAATAGGAGTGATTTTAATTTGTAACTTCTTTCTGAGGTCTGATTCAAGATGGCTGCAGTGTTGAAATTAGATGCTGCTGTTTCAGGTTTCACGGTTAAAATACAAAAAAGGTGTGAGGACCCAGATTTGCTGGATTTTGTTGATTCTGTTTACAAGAAACACTGATGACAAATAGATCCGAGCTGTTCACCAGCAACTCCACATTTAGTCTAGATATGCTAGAGCAAACATTGAGGCTTACCAGAGAATCAGTAGAGACTCAATCTCCCCCCATTCCTTCTTCGCTGTCGCATACAGTGTCTCCTTTAATATCTCATTCACGTGTCTTCAGTGTTTTCTTCTTTCTCACATTCAGTGTCTTTTTTTTCTTTTCTTCAACCTCTGAGCAGAATCAAAGGCAGAGGGATAAAGATTTTAGCAGCTCAGCGAAGACTGCGGTTCCTTTTTACAGAAACGTTAATCCACATTCACCCTTTAACACCTCCTTGCTCCCTTCCTTCGTCTCTTCCTTCTCTCCGTCCTTCCGTCATATATTCTCACTGATTAAAGAATCACGCCTCACGCCTCACACTCAGAAAACCTTCAACTGCACACAGCCACACACACATCCCCGTTGACAGTCGGCACAAAAAATAGAGAGGTTGAAACCACGGCAACCTGACGGCATCCTCACCCTGCTGACTCCTCCCCCTGCTGCTGAGAAAGAATAAGAGGGAGGGAGAAAGATGGGGGAGGGACACAGAGGGGAGAGATTTTATATTCCTCAACATAGAGGAAGCAACTATGTGCTTGTGTATTGTTGACATTACCTGGCATGATGTGACATGAAGCCTTATTTCCATGTGATGTCATAGCTGGTTGATTGTCCCCAAAAAAGACCGCCGGCCACCTGAAAGCTGTTCACCGCTCGCATGTCACAAGCTGTGTTGTTGTGTTTTACTGGTGAAGAGCGTTTATTGTGGGTTCATTGTTGTTATAAAGTTATAACCAATTAATTAATCTCACTAGCTCCAACCACTGATTGCTCAGCGATGAGGTGTAAAAATAAATTCTGCTGCCTGGCGAAGAGCAACGGCAGTTGTTACAGCTTAACAGTGGTATGACGGTACATACAAAATTCATACCGTCAGGAATCGGGTACCGGTATACTGGTTGAAACGGTAAAACTTCCCTTTTTTCCCCATGGAAGGGTTTTTTATTTCTTGGGGAGTTTTTCCTGTGCCGATGTGAGGGTTTCGCATGTGTACAGACTGTAAAGCCCTCTGAGGCAAACTTGTAATTTGCGATTTTGGGCTATACTAAATAAAATGAATTGAATTAAATACTTCCCAGTCCTAGTAAAAACATTCAACCAAGAACAAGATCCTGGAGTCGATTGTAGAGCGTACAGAGATGAGTAAAGGGAGCAAAGCTGAGAAGACTGATCTCTGGTGGGGACGAGTCCGCCTACAGGTGGAGTCTGACCATCTGGTGTCCTGGTGCAGCCAGAACAACCTGGAGCTCAACGCTCTAAAGACAGTGGAGATGGTTGTGGATTTCCGGAGGAACAGAGCCCCACCCTCCCCCATCACCCTGTGTGACTCCCCTGTCACTATTGTGGATTCCGTCCGTTTCCTGGGCTCCATCATCACCCAGGACCTCAAGTGGGAGCTGAACATCAGCTCCATCACCAAGAAGGCTCAGCAGAGGTTGTTCTTCCTGAGGCACTTGAAGAAATTCAACCTGCCAAAGACGATGATGGTCCACTTCTACACGGCCATCATGGAGTCCGTCCTCTGCTCCTCCATCACCGTCTGGTACGCTGCAGCCACAGCCAAGGACAAGGGCAGGCTGCAGCGTGTCATCCGCTCTGCAGAGAGGGTGATCGGCTGCAATCTGCCGTCCCTGCAGGACTTGTTCGCTTCCAGGTCTCTGAAGCGAGCTAAAAAGATGGTAGCCGACCCCTCTCACCCCGGACAAAAACTGTTTGTGCCCCTTCCGTCTGGCAGGAGGCTGAGGTCCATCAGGACTAAGACCTCCCGCCACACCAACAGTTTCTTCCCGTCGGCAGTCGGGCTCATCAACAGAGCCGGTCCCCCACTGACTGACTATAACATCCCACCGGTCACTCCCCTTCACACTGCACATGTCACTTTAACTGTAATTTTTCACTTTGTCGTCACTCGTCACTTTGTCACTTGTTCGCTAGTGCCCTTTATGCTTAATATATATTTTTTATTTTTTAATACTTTAAATTTTTAACATTAACTTTATTCTCTTGTTTTATACTAACCCATTGCATTAGCTTTTCATTTTACTTTATTTTATTACTTGTGCACTGCTGTCTTGTTGTCTATTGTTACACTGTCTAGTGTCACGCACCAACCGCCAAGACAAATTCCTTGTATGTTTGACATATTTTGGCAATAAATGTTTCCTGATTCCTGAAGAGGAGATGTGTCTACGTCAAGAACTCTCTTTCACTGGTGTAGGCGTGCGTGGTTGTCCCCCCTCCCACACCTCCTTCTGTGGTGCAGAGGAGAGGTTGAGAGGGAGTGTAAAGTGGGGCCCCAAACGGTATTATGTTAGGGTTAGGTTTTGGTGGGTGCGTGGCCCTCCGAAGAAGGTCACATGGGGCACTAGGACAAGGTAGCTGTGTTTTTTTAAAACAGCTTCAATACAGAAATCCTAAATGAGTTAAACAATAAAACGACATGTTAAAAAATACCCATAAAAATAAATGTGAATAAAAAAGGATTTTTTTTAAATTCACACAAGAGTTGTGGTATAAAAAGAGACCCTTGTGTTGTCCTGGGATCTTTGTGAACGCAAATTAAATATTGACGTAAAATATATTTGATATTCATCAACACTGTAAGTGTTGTTCTCTGAGTCTGTTTTTGTTCACCAACATTGATGATGCTGGATAGCATTTTATGATTTTTATTGTAATGTTTTTTGCCTGGGCCCGAAGAAGAATAGTCTCCACTATGGTGTAGACTAATGAGGATCCTTAATCAACCTAAACCTAAACACACCTCCCTTGCGTTGTTCTGCTTCAGTTTGGTCTCCAGCTTCCTCCTGTCCTTGCACTCCCTGAGATTCACCCTCATGTCTTGCTGGACGTTCCTGAGCTCCTCCCTGTCTATTGACCTGAAAGCTGCCTTCTTCTTGTTAAGAAGAGTAGCTGTTGTTTGATATTTATTTTGCTAACAAGAACAGCAGACACACACCTAAATATAACTCAACTCATATGCCTGTATTCCGTACACTGCTCTCCTATTTTGGTAAAAAAATATATTTATTTAATGAAAAGATGGTGCAGTTAGGACCTGAGATAGTGTGAGATAGAATATGTTTGTTAAAAACAATTTTAATGCAAAAATTGCTGTGGTGAAATGACTGGGTCTGTTCCCTCTTGGTTGAATGCACTTTGAATACAAGCATCAGCTAAATGAAATGGATTGTAAAGTGATAGTCCCAGGAAAGAAAAAATGTATGTGGCTCCATCTGCTGGAAGAATATGTTTGTTTTATTAACTAATTTTCTATTAAATATGTTCAGTCAGTTTACAACAATAACACTACATCATCGTCTAATATAGGAGTCCTGCAATGAATCATACTTTAATAAAAGTTACAGCATCTGATTTAAGAACGGTGCAGATTACATTTCATATTTGAGGCTATAGATTGGGCTGCTGTTGAACTTTATAGTAATATTTATCGGGTCATTAATATATATCAGAGCTGCCAACTCGCACGGTTTCACAATGTGACACACGCTTTTGCATGTTTTCACACACTCACGCCACACATCCAATTTCTCACGCTAAAAAAAATCAGATTTTGTGCCGAGATGCGTTCGTTCCTTTTCAATCTCCCTCACGGTAGATGGCGCTAAAAAGCGCATCTGAAATCCTATTTTCTGCATAGACATTCTCTTTACCCCAAAGTCAGCGACAGAAAAGTTACAAAGAGAGACAACTGCGGGAGAAACTCGGAAAGAGAATCTATCGCTGAAGAAAATCTCCATCTCCATGTGAGCAGAGACATGGCGTGTTAATGACATGTGGTTCAATTAGGAACTCACTTTCTTAAACTTTAAATCTCGAAAGAAATTATTTGTTTGTTGAGTTGTTGTTTATGTGTGTCAAATTGATTTAGTGTGGTGAATGTAAACTCAGCTGTCATAACAAACAGCAGGAGAGCACCGTGTTAACCCTGTGGTGTACTGCATGCTCAAAACATCATAGCATTGTTTATTTGGGCTGCTCAAATATAACGTATCTTTTTATTAACAGGCCAAAGAAAAGGACTCACTCTGAAGACATTCACAAACAGCGCGGCCAGTACAACCTTGCCCACAGATCTTAGAAAATGACTAACCAGCTTCTGAAAGGGAATATTTCCAACACACCCATCACCATTTAAAAAAGAGAATGTGTATTCCTAAATCGTGAATATTAAACCAAAATCTAGAATATTGAGGTTAAAATTGCTTTTGTTCTGCTTAAGTTAGAAAATATCTTTGTTGTGTCTAATACAGCTGTAGATTAGATTTTCCAGGAGTTTAACTATTTTGATGGTTCTGTCTGTGCCGATTACTCAAAGACTGTTTAGCCAACTATTAGCATTAAGAGATAATGGATGCCAGTTTGACCACTCAGTAGTTGAAAAGCTAGCCCAATCTCTGAGAGAAACCTTGTTAGAAGCAATTGGTGATACAGGTCCACTTTGCAGTGCATGGAGGAGAGATGGAGATGGAGGAAGTCTTTGTGCTTTCCCTCCCGACAGGCTTCTGTGGATGGTGGTTCTATCTGATTGTGGTTGTCCCTGCAGTGGTCCTGCCGTGCGTCTGGCCTAATGCTCACAATTACTTGAATCATTTCTGTCATAGGAATTGAATGTATTATACATTGTTCGTTCGGAACAATGTATTGATTGTGTGGGTTTCGGGACAGAGGATGTCGTATGTGTACAGACTGTAAAGCCCTCTGAGGCAAATTTGTAATTTGCGATTTTGGGCTATACAAAATAAAATGAATTGGAAATTGAATTGAATTGAGATGTTTACTATGAGACCCACTTTAATGCAATGGAGCCAGTTGTTCCAGTACTTGATTAAAAGAATAGTAAGTCATTTTAGTAATTTTAAAGTATTTGCTTTGAATTCAGCATTCTGCAAATGTGCTTCTTCCCCTTTCTGAGACATCAATTTCAGATTGGAAATCATATACACACATGTGGCTTTACCAGACCTCCATTGGAAGTGATAAATGTTTCCACTCTTTACGTTCATGTTCTTAACAAGGAGATCTGAAATTCTCTGAAACAAGTCTTCAACTAAGGACACTGCAAGCTTGGCCAAAAGTGTGGTATATAATGGTCTAAACTACAGGTGTGTGATGATTTTGATCCATGGCTTGCTGGGTGCACGGCCAGAGTTTGATGAAATCATCTAAATGGTGATACTGCAAGACAACTTCATCTTCGTTGTGAAGAAGCTGAGTCTGTAAGATTATAAATGAATAATTAGAAAAATAATCTTTTTCAATGTGTAGCCAGTGAGCAAATATCCTTCCTGAGCTACCGTAGGCTCAGGCAGGCCTTGGTACCTCCCACTTCCTGGTTCACCCATTAGACAGGGTATAAAAACTGCACATTATCAGGAAACATTTATTAGCCAAAATATGTCAAACATACAAGGAATTTGTCTTGGCGGTTATGGAGTTGCTGTCATGCTGTATGCTTGTCCCTTTCTGTGTTGGAGTCTGACTGGAGAATCCCGTGAGCTGGTGGGTGTATTTATTCTCAATTCTTAGGGAAATGGTTTTGCCTTTAGTGAACTTTCTGTTTGCGTCTTGTTAAGTTGAATCGTCACTACGCTTCCCAGAGTGCACCAGCAGAAATCACTAATTGTGGAGCACCTGTGTAGAGGTCCTCATTCCCTTTTTAAACAGGCACAGGGGAGAAGAGACACAAGTTACTCTACGGTTCGGTCCAAAGACGCCAATGGTCGGTGAGATTTTATTTACTTTGTTTAAAACGCTGATTTATGTTTAAAGCATGGGCAACTGAGTTGATTAGGGTGAATCATTGTAGCATCAAGAATTTGCTAAAATATTTCATTAAATTTGAAAGTATAAGATGTTTATTTAAATGTAAACCCAGTTAACTTAATTTGGCAATGTTTAATGTGAATGTTTAATTTTGAAAGGTAATTTATGTTCTTTGTCTTTAAAGGTTTACAACCTAACTCTGAACTGGCAAATCAATGGACAAAGGCAAAAGAAAAATTTAAATAAAAGTGATTGAGCCAGAAACTTTGAGTTGTCCTCGTGTCCTTTGGATTGTGAGGTGGAGATAACTTGACACGTCTCCCAGCTCGTCACGAAGGCCCAAACCATGTGTGAGCTGACTCTGGTGGAAGAGGCTCAAACTCCAGGCTGGGATTAGAAGCCAGTTTCCTTTGTGTTGCTATATTCAGTTCCTGTCTGGAGCTTCTTCATGTTGGTGGTATTCGTTAGATTCCAGAAGATTACTTTTGGTAAGTAATGTAGTGATCAAATTTGATATAATTGAACTATTTATTTGTCTTTAGGGGTTGAGGCTGTCTGCAGAGTAGCAGCCCAGGTGGTGGGTCTGGTGCCTGGGCCTCTCATCTGCCCCTCCCATTCTCGGTTGTTTTGGTCTGTATTTTGATTTTACATAGCATGCGTTGATTCTGATTTTTAGAATATTTGTGTGGAGAAACAAAGTCTGTGAGCAACCTGTGCTAGCGCATGTGCCTGTTATTGCCCCGCTGCGGCCTAGTCACCAGTAGCCCTCAATTTGTTTGTAGAGGCCATTTGGGTTATTTTTTTTAATCCTACAGCTGATGGGAATTGGTTTGATTGCTATATTTAAAAAAAGAGCGATTTTAAGTAAATGTTGCAATCTGGGGGGAATCCTTTGCCTCGGTCTGATTTCAGTCACCATGGAACCATGGTTATTAAATAATTAGTTTGTAAGGAGGAAATCTTTCCCCCTGTGCTACTGGTGGTTACAAATGTCTTTCCTACAGTTGCTCAACTTCTCATGATTTAATATACACACTATGCATCAGCTAAAACTAATGCATTCTAATAACAGCCCTACAAATATTTCTCACTCATCTTCTATCAGGAAAGTAAACGGCCCAAATAGCAATTGGCCAATGGTACTCCTAGAGTGGATTTCCTTGTATGTTGAACTTTACTAATGGCTTGTGATCTCTTCTCAGACTGCTATGGCTGGTTCGACACCTGCAGAATCAAGGGGAACATTGAAAAACTAACACTTCCAAATGGCATGCCAGAGTCACTAGATTATCTTCACTGCAAGATGAAGACAACCTTTAGGTTAAAGGGCCTCCTCTGACTTCAATACATGGCCAAAGATGTTTGAAATTCTTTTTAAATCTCAATTCTACCACTGGATTTCATGGACTAGTAAGAAGCCAAATGGGTTGGTTGATTTGTAAAATGTTTGCCCTACCTCTGTGGATTGCCCGCAAGATATTTCGTAACCCGGTTTTATAAATTGTTGCAGATAATTTAATTTTTTTAAAAATATTTTGTTGTCATTTACTCATTTCAGTTGGTTCAATATGCGTTGGGCAAGAAACCTGGTGGAGACCGTGGTACCATGAGTACAAACAAAAGGTTTGACTGACTTGCACTATTAACAAGTACACTACTAAAGAGACACTGCTCATATAGATTTTAACTGTTTGAATTGCTTGGTGATTTATGGTAATTGTGATGTTTGTTCCATAGTGCAAGTGAATCTTATGTGTACCCTGTAAAAATGCACTTTAAATACACATTTCTGTGACAGTAATTAAAACTCATTTTAAATTTGTATTTAAAGAGCAATTTTTCCATTAACTAAACCGGAGTTTGTTGCACAATATATCACAAGTGGTTGTTTTGAAAATATCTAACTATTTATTTGAATAGTTGCTTAAATATTTCTCCTGCAGATGTTTTGAACTGGACAAAGAAAAGTCAACCTCCTCATAGTGCTGTACACTTCAGTGTAACCCCAACACTGTAGGTTAAGACCTTATGTTTACTGGCTTAGTGTTGCAATGTACTCCAATTTTACAGTCAAATTTACTGTGTACCTGGAATGTAATTTTGGCAGTGAATTTATAAAATGTCAATGTATTCTAGAGGAGAGAGAGAGAAGATGGGCGAGGCCTGGGCTCTCCATAAAGGTATTTTTTTTTTTTATATATAATGCTTGTCGTACAGGCGGTGTAATGACACTAATAAAATGTCTTTCTAAGTGGAAAGAATGCCTGAGTGTTGCGGCCTGTCCTGAACTATTTGTATCCTTTATCTGCTTAACTATTTGCTGTTGGGTTAGGGGTTAGTACTGCTAAATAACATTAGCCTATGGGCAAGAAGATGCCATCTCGTCAGTGGTTCAAAGATTTTTCAGAATAGGTTGTGATTCCACGCAGGACGGTCCAGAGAATACAACAGGCTCCCGCCTTGAGGATCCCCAGAAGTGGTCAAGCAGTTTCAGCCTCCTGTGACGGTCAATTACCAACAGTCTTTAGTGATTTGAGTGAACGGTAAGACTTTTTTCCTGTATGGTTTTTGATATGTAATGCTTGTCATGCAGAATGTGTGAAAAGTCTAATACAATGTTCTGTTACAATAGCTGACTGTTGGTTAACTGCATCTGCTGCTAATATGTACTGAACTAATCCAGTCTCTATCTGCGCCTTCACTGTGTGTGTAAAAAGATGCATTCTTGTCAGTGTTTAAATATTTCTCATTTGCACGCTATTTCCACGCAGGACGATTCAGAGAACACAACAGGCTCCTGCTTCAGGGTCAAGCAGCTTTAGCCTCCTGTGGAAATTGCCCTACCAACTTAGCGATTTGCGTAACAGGTAAGACTTTTTTCCCAGTAATGGTTATGTAATGCTTGTCATGTAGGCTGTGCGACAGGTCTAGAAAAATGTTTGCAACTGTATGATTGCATAATGTGTTAACTTGCGGTGCTTCTTGTCTTTGGTTGTATGTCCTTAACTATGTTCCATTGGCCAAGGGTTTAGGAATGGGTTTGTATTGCTAAATATAAACCTGCAGGTACAAGAAGATGATCATGTCAGTGTTTCAAGTATTTTCTGGATGAGTTGGGTAATGTAGTTTTGTTATTTCTTGCAGGACGATATAATCCAATTCTTTACAAGCTTTGCCAGATCTCGTCGACCAGCTGACCGGATTTGGCAGAAGGTAAGACCCCTTTTTTGGGCTAGGGTTAGCGGGGGCTAAGTGTGGGCTAGGGTTAGCGGGGGCTAAGTGTGGGCTAGGGTTAGCGGGGGCTAAGTGTGGGCTAGGGTTAGCGGGGGCTAAGTGTGGGCTAGGGTTAGCGGGGGCTAAGTGTGGGCTAGGGTTAGCGGGGGCTAAGTGTGGGCTAGGGTTAGCGGGGGCTAAGTGTGGGCTAGGGTTAGCGGGGGCTAAGTGTGGGCTAGGGTTAGCGGGGGCTAAGTGTGGGCTGGGTTAGCGGGGGCTAAGTGTGGGCTGGGGTTAGGGTTAGGGTTAGGGGTTAAAGGGTTGGGACAGCGGTCCTAAGACCACTGTCAGTGCACGGTCCATCGTCAGGCCCGGCTCCGAGGACCCAAAAGTAAACACAGAATCAAGTTTCCCTTAGTCCCAGTTACCCACAAACATGGCGCCTCCGCTTTCTCCATCGCTTTGATGTCGCGTCATCACCTCCGTCCGGGTACCTCTGCTCGCCTTAGCCGTGGTGCTGGTGCAGGTGCCTTCTCCCTCCGTGATGTGGACCGGAAGAACTGCGCCCCTCACCTCAGCATCAGCAGCCTCGCAGTCACCCATGGCACCCGGCTCGCTCACGTCCATAATCTGCTCACTCGTTGCTCCGCCATCGTTTATTTTCTCCAGCAGGAACATGGGAACAGGCACAAAACAACACCGCAACGTTTCGGTCTCAGCTAGACCTTCTTCAGGCAGGTTTAAAAAGTGTGCATTTAACAAAACAGCGGAGCTCGTGCCGGGGACTCCTTTCCCTCCGGACACGCTGGCGAAAATGACGTGAGTCGGCGGCGTAGTGATATCGGAGGTGCGGACCGGCACAGCTGGATCTATTTTACCTCACATTCAACACACCACATCGTGATATTTAGCGTTAGCAGGTATTGTATCATTAAAACAATATATTCGCCCTATTCTCGACCGTCCGTATCCCCGTGGATTTATAATTATGTATACATTGTCAAGAATAAGCATTGTTTAAATAAAAACGATTACAATCCTGTACACATGAGTGGTGGAATCCTTCAAAGCATGACACAAAGTTAGTATTCAATGCCTGTCAGTAATATTAAACTGAAATATCACATCATCTTATTGTGTTCACAGTGCAAAACATCATAAAACAATATATTGGCCGTACTCTCAATCGTGCTTCTTTCTGTGGATCCGTAATTGTGCTTCAATAGAGCGTCGTCCTTAAAGAATAGTGCATACATTTCTAAGAGTCAGCATTGTTTAACAGATTGTAATCCTGTACACACAAGTGATGGAATTATAATAGCATGACACCAGGTAGGCATTCTATGCATGTCAGTAAATTATAACTTGACTATTAAGGTTTGTGAAGGAGTGAGATGTCATAAATCCGCTGTAAAATGTGTTGTTTTATTATATCCATGCATTAAAGGGCCAGATTAGGCTTGCAAATAATACATTTACTAATGTTGTGTTTAGGAAAAGGGGACCAGGTTAGGTCACAGCCTCCCTCCAACAATAGAACACTGTGTGGTTGTGTTTAGGAGAAGGGGACCTGACTAGGTCACAGCCTCGCTCCCACAATAGAAAACTGTGTGGTTGTGTTTAGGGCTAGGTGATGGAGAGACTGCATAAACAATTGGGGGAACCCCCGGGGCTAGACCCAAGAGGCACAGGCTGGTTAGGGGTTAAAGGGTTGGGACAGCGGTCCTAAGACCACTGTCAGTGCACGGTCCATCGTCAGGCCCGGCTCCGAGGACCCAAAAGTAAACACAGAATCAAGTTTCCCTTAGTCCCAGTTACCCACAAACATGGCGCCTCCGCTTTCTCCATCGCTTTGATGTCGCGTCATCACCTCCGTCCGGGTACCTCTGCTCGCCTTAGCCGTGGTGCTGGTGCAGGTGCCTTCTCCCTCCGTGATGTGGACCGGAAGAACTGCGCCCCTCACCTCAGCATCAGCAGCCTCGCAGTCACCCATGGCACCCGGCTCGCTCACGTCCATAATCTGCTCACTCGTTGCTCCGCCATCTTTGTTAGCATTTCACCGCATGTTGGGCTCGATTAGCCTCATTAGCTTTGGGCTAACTTAGCCACACAAGCACTTAGCTTAGAAAAAAATCGGCGAAAAGGTTTTCTTTACCGTTTATTTTCTCCAGCAGGAACATGGGAACAGGCACAAAACAACACCGCAACGTTTCGGTCTCAGCTAGACCTTCTTCAGGCAGGTTTAAAAAGTGTGCATTTAACAAAACAGCGGAGCTCGTGCCGGGGACTCCTTTCCCTCCGGACACGCTGGCGAAAATGACGTGAGTCGGCGGCGCAGTGATATCGGAGGTGCGGACCGGCACAGCTGGATCTATTTTACCTCACATTCAACACACCACATCGTAATATTTAGCGTTAGCAGGTATTGCATCATTAAAACAATATATTCGCCCTATTCTCGACCGTCCATATCCCCGTGGATTTATAATTATGTATACATTGTCAAGAATAAGCATTGTTTAAATAAAAACGATCACAATCCTGTACACATGAGTGGTGGAATCCTTCAAAGCATGACACAAAGTTAGTATTCAATGCCTGTCAGTAATATTAAACTGAAATATCACATCATCTTATTGTGTTCACAGTGCAAAACATCATAAAACAATATATTGGCCGTACTCTCAATCGTGCTTCTTTCTGTGGATCCGTAATTGTGCTTCAATAGAGCGTCGTCCTTAAAGAATAGTGCATACATTTCTAAGAGTCAGCATTGTTTAACAGATTGTAATCCTGTACACACAAGTGATGGAATTATAATAGCATGACACCAGGTAGGCATTCTATGCATGTCAGTAAATTATAACTTGACTATTAAGGTTTGTGAAGGAGTGAGATGTCATAAATCCGCTGTAAAATGTGTTGTTTTATTATATCCATGCATTAAAGGGCCAGATTAGGCTTGCAAATAATACATTTACTAATGTTGTGTTTAGGAAAAGGGGACCAGGTTAGGTCACAGCCTCCCTCCAACAATAGAACACTGTGTGGTTGTGTTTAGGAGAAGGGGACCTGACTAGGTCACAGCCTCGCTCCCACAATAGAAAACTGTGTGGTTGTGTTTAGGGCTAGGTGATGGAGAGACTGCATAAACAATTGGGGGAACCCCCGGGGCTAGACCCAAGAGGCACAGGCTGGTTAGGGGTTAAAGGGTTGGGACAGCGGTCCTAAGACCACTGTCAGTGCACGGTCCATCGTCAGGCCCGGCTCCGAGGACCCAAAAGTAAACACAGAATCAAGTTTCCCTTAGTCCCAGTTACCCACAGACATGGCGCCTCCGCTTTCTCCATCACTTTGATGTCGCGTCATCACCTCCGTCCGGGTACCTCTGCTCGCCTTAGCCGTGGTGCTGGTGCAGGTGCCTTCTCCCTCCGTGATGTGGACCGGAAGAACTGCGCTCCTCACCTCAGCATCCGCAGCCTCGCAGTCACCCATGGCACCCGGCTCGCTCACGTCACATAATCTGCTCACTCGTTGCTCCGCCATCTTTGTTAGCATTTCACCGCATGTTGGGCTCGATTAGCCTCATTAGCTTTGGGCTAACTTAGCCACAAAAGCACTTAGCTTAGGAAAAAATCGGCGAAAAGGTTTTCTTTACCGTTTATTTTCTCCAGCAGGAACATGGGAACAGGCACAAAACAACACCGCAACGTTTCGGTCTCAACTAGACCTTCTTCAGGCAGGTTTAAAAAGTGTGCATTTAACAAAACAGCGGAGCTCGTGCCGGGGACTCCTTTCCCTCCGGACACGCTGGCGAAAATGACGTGAGTCGGCGGCGCAGTGATATCGGAGGTGCGGACCGGCGTGATCCGGCACCGCTGGATCTATTTTATCTCAAACTCAACACAACACATCATGATATTTAGCGTTAGCAGGTATTGTATCATTAAAACAATATATTCGCCCTATTCTCGACCGTCCGTATCCCCGTGGATTTATAATT